TGTTTCACACTTGTCATTTCGAGGGCTTTTTAAAGCTTGCTATGCGGTATGGGTTTTGCTCATTGTTGAAGGCGGAACGGTAACCTTCTATGTCATTTGGTCTCTGATGGAGAGTTGTCTCATTGGCAATCCTACCACATCTTCTTTCTTTTATATCTTAAATGCTAAGACTTCAATAAATGTTTCAAAACATTTATACATGTAATTTATAATGAACCAAGAAAGAAATTTTACAAAATCAGTATGCTCATAATACAGTGCCCACTGAAGAAGCAATAAAACAACATTAAGATCATACAAATATATTCGTATTTTACCACGGGTACTTCCTTAAAGCTTTGAAGAACTTCATATTAGAATAGAATTTACACATGCGGCTTTAATAAAGTGTCATGGTCATCGTTAAATTGATTTGGTTTGCCAATTGCGATAAATAAACTGCTATAGAGCAGGAATTTCATTGTTTAGTTATACTGCACATAATAATTTAAAGCCAGGCAACTGCCATGTCACTACAACTCGCCATCTTGGCAAATTCAAAGGCATCAGTTCTTGTCAAAAACTTTTCTTTAGCGTCTTTGGTAAGCAGAGATTTCACACGCTTCCTTGGCCTGAGGTAACACACATTAATTAACAGTATGTTTGACACTCAAGCTGTCAATGAAAGCCATCTAGGTGAAAATTAATTTTGACTGAACTTTAAACTTGTTGACAAACCAGTACAAATGTACATCTTCAATGTCAAATCGTAAATTTTGTTGTTATTAATGATACGAAATGGTCAGGCTTTGATGATGGTAGGAAATGGCAATTGTATAAAATGGCTTGCTTCTTACAGTACATGTACATGTTTAGTAATCACATGAGGAATAGACTTTTTAATTGTGGAGTTATGTGAATGGACAAGGAAGACTTTTAAAGCCAATATATATAGTAGACTTTTAAAATTAAGAGTACTGTACATTGTGTTTTCTTATAGGTGGTGGGTAAATGTGAATATAACTATGATGCTGTACAGATTATATTCCACTGTGTAGTGCGAAGATATAAACTTAGGCCCGCACATGCAGAAGAAGTTTTAAACACGTATATATATATATACTCATGAAGGATATCTGTTATCCGAAATATTTATAGATAGTCCATAATACTTACATTTATTTTTCCTTTTTTTAATAATGGTGTTGTTTTGTACACTTTTTAGGCGTTTATATAATTTATTTATTGTGTACATGTATCGTTACTCGTATCGATCCAGCGCCCTCGTAAGAAAGATCGTTGACTAATATCTAGACGTTTTATATATCTATAGACGTTATATATATATATATATATATATATGTTGTCACTTGTTTAGACGTACTTATCAAAATAATTATTTCTGTGACTGTATCTTACGATCCTTTACGATAGATAATTTAGCTAATCTGCAATCAATTCCATCTTCATGCCTAATATATCATGTATATCATGTACTGTGTTACAACTCTAGATTCTACTGACGAAGAATGGTAACACTAGGCCACCGAAAGCTGAATTTTAAGTTCAGTCTATGTGGCCAGGGGTCTAGAGCGCTGGACACAGTGCAGGCGGTGTTGTCTCGATATCTCAATAGCATGAGTTCGAATCCCGGCGAGGGAAGAACAAAAATTTGCTGATTTAACATTGTTGTGCTGATATTTAGAGTGATTATGTCACCTTCACTGGTGATCCAATAGATGGATCTGTCGTAGTGTAGTTACTTGTTTAGACGTACTTATCGTTTTTACACTAGTACTTTTTGGGGCCATTTATAGCTTGCTGTTCGGTGTGAGCCAAGGCTCCGTGTTGAAGACCGTACTTTGACCTATAATGGTTTACTTTTATAAATTTTGACTTGGATGGAGAGTTGTCTCATTGGCACTCATACCACATCTTCTTAATATATCTAATTATCAAAATAATTATGTCTGTGACTGTATCTGACGATCCTTTACGATAGATAATTTAGCTAACCTGCAATCAATTCCATCCTCATGCCTAATATATAAGAGGGGCGTAAAGGGGGGTGGGGGGGGGGGGGGGTATCTGCACGGAAGAACGCGAAAAAAAATTGCTATTTCACGATGAACGAACAATTAAAAATTTCTTGCACGTTGATCTTTTTACCGATTTCACGAAACACAGTGAATAACGAACCTTTTTCACGGCTGCACGTGAAACAAAAATGGCACGAAAATAACCCTTTACCACCCTCATATAATGTACTGTGTAACAACTCTAGAAGTTTTACTGACGAGGAAATATGGCAAGCCGTTTTACTATTTATTCTAACTTCAAGATATCTCATATAATATATAAGATATCTCACATAATATATGAGATATCTTATATAATCCAGTTTTTATAAGATATCTTATATAATTTATAATTAAGATATCTTATAAACTTTATAAGATATCTTAATATATACTTTATAAGATATCTTAATATATACTTTATAAGATATCTTATAAACTTTAGAAGATATCTTATAAAGTATATAAGATATCTTATAAAGTATATAAGATATCTTATAAAGTATATAAATATCTTATAAAGTATATAAGATATCTTATAAAGTTTATAAGATATCTTATAAAGAAAATTATATGAGATATCTTATATACTTTATAAGATATCTTATATACTTTATAAGATATATTATATAGTTTATAAGATATCTCATATAATTTATAAGATATCTCATATAATTTTATTTATAAGTTATCTTATAAACTTTATAAGATATCTTATATATTATATGAGATATCTTATATGTTTTATGAGATATCTTATATAAAATTTATTTATAAGATATCTCCTAAAGTTTATAAGATATCTTTTATAAATAATTGCATTGAAAATCAAAGTCTCCCTTTAAATCAACCAATCAAAAAATATTATCAAATTAAGTACGAACTAGTAAACTGGTTTCCTACGTTTCATTTCATAAATAATTGTGTCCATGGACCAATCTTAGCAAAACCTACTAACATTATTGCCTACAGAATATTTTATTTCTTGTCCGTATCTAGTTTCTATAATGATTTTCCATGTATCGCTGTGTATACGTTAAATGCAATTTTATATGCATTTAAATGTTTGTCTTCAATTGAAGGTTTAAACTATTATAGCTTTGTTAATGCATGATTTGGTGATTCATATACATAGCATGTTTCGCTTATATATATTTACTTTAACATAAATATATTATCTTTAACTGTTTAAACCTTATTTGACCTTTTCTCGGTAGATTGTTCTGTGGTTAATTATAAACTTTTACACATCTATTTATTTGAAAGGATTTCCCCAACGTAAATTAATGATCTGTGGTAATCAATTGGTCTTCTATGAATTTCTTTAACTTGATGATATTACACATGGTGTTTCGGATATCACTTTAATAGGTCAAGTTCGACCAAGGCCGTTCATCCTCGTCAGGTGCCCTGGCTTAATTTATTTTTATTAACTATAACATTTGATTATCAATTACTTTTTAATTATAATCAATATGTTTCTATCGTGTAACGTATCAAATGCAGTTACATTTTTAAAGTTCTGATGTAGGGAGCGTTTGTTATTTAAAAATAATGGTTGAAGTCGCGGTTATAAGATATCTTATAAAGTATATAAGATATCTCATATAATTTTCTTTATAAGATATCTTATAAACTATATAAGATATTTCATAAATTATATAAGATATCTTATTAAGTTTATAAGATATCTTATAAATATTTTTATATAAGATATCTTATATACTTTGTAAGATATCTCATATAGTTTATAAGATATATTGTATAGTTTAAAAGATATCTTATATAGTTTATAAGAGATCTCATATAGTTTATAAGATATCTTAAATAGTTTATAAGATATCTTATAAAGAAAATTATATGAGATATCTTATAAATTATATGATATATCTCATAAACTATATAAGATATCTTATAAACTATATAACATATTTTATAAACTATATAAGATATATCAACTATATGAGATATCTTATAAAGTTTATTAGATATCTTGAAGTTAGAATAAATAATAAAACGGCTTGCATAAGGAAAGGTAACACTAGGCCACCGAAAGCTGAATTTAAGTTCAGTGTAGGTGGCCGAGTGGTCTAGAGCAGTGGCGGATCCGAAAATTTTCATAGGGGGGGGGGGGGGGGCACTGACTGCCTTAAAGGGGGCCCGCTCCAGTCATGCTTCAGTGTTTCCCTAAATAATCAACCAAATTTTTCCCACGAAAAGGGGGGGGGAGGCGGGCCCCCTGGAAAACCCTCTAAATCCGCCTCTGTAGAGCGCTGGACACGATAACTCAATACACCTTATCGCTATTTGTCCGCCATTACTGGACATCACAAAAGTTCCCGTAAAATTTTGACGTCATAATAGAAAATATCTGACGCCACAATGGAAAAGTGATTGTTGTATGACGTCAAAAGTTCAAGCGGGACGGATTCTCGGGTCAAGCGGGAATAGCGATGCGGTGTATAGCATGAGTACGAATCCCGGCGAGGGAAGAACAAAAATTTACTTCCCCAAATTTGCAGATTTAACATTGTTGTGCTGATATTTAGAGTGATTATATATATATATATTATATATATATATATATATATATAATATTATAATATTTAAAATCCGTTGCTCTGATTACACAAATACCCTATGGTGCTCCAGATAGTGGAGGGATTTACTTAAATAAAAAAAGCTGAAAGCCGCTTATAACCTTGAGAAATTAAATTTATGGCTTTTGATTCCGATCAATATTTTTATTTCTTAAAAAACAAATACTATTGACAATTCAAACTCAAATGTTTAATGATAATAATAAAATATTTGAAAATTTTAGCCACGTTAATAATTAATATATATGTATATAGAAGCAAATGATAATGGATATTAATAGTTTATCTGAAAAGCATTTTCTCGGTTTTAGCATTTCACTTTCTTAATCCTGGTTAAATAAAAATGACAGCCTCCACAGGCAACGATTCCAAAGCTCATTCAAGAAAAAAGAACACTAACATTAATAATGATATTTTCGTTGACACATCAGGGAGAAATTCTAGTGTTGAAAGCACTAAAGCACGTAATAAAAAACAGATAAGTGCCCTTTTGATTTGGCCAATAGTGGTCATATTATACACAGTCACCTTTGTGTGTCTGCATGAAGTAAAATATAACAAATATCCTGAGCCAAAATACTCAACAACATATACAGAGAAGGATCAGTTTTTTGAAGATGAAGCACGTAAACATTTGCTGGAACTGTGTAGCTTTGGACCTAAGCCTGCTGGAAGCAATGCGAATGAGGTTAAAGCTGTACAATATATTGTTAATCAAATAGATACTATAAGAGAATCAAATCAAGAACATTCACCAGTGAATTCTCTGACAATAAACATTCAGAAAGTTAGTGGATCATTCCTATTAAAGAATTTTGTACAGACAAACTATTATTCTGTGTATGAAAATCTCCAAAATGTAGTGGTATTACTTGAACCACCAAATACTTCCAAGTCAAGTCTTCTCATTAACTGTCATTTTGATTCAGTGGTTGACAGTCCAGGTAATATTTCATCTATTTACATGTACATGATGTATGTAATTACCAGACATAGGGTTATCAAAACTGTTAATGTATTAATGTAATTACCTGTAATTAATTAGAATTTGAAAGTAGTAATGTTTAATTGAGCATATTTTCAATTACATGTACATCGGTCCAACGATTTACAGAAAAAAACGACGATTTACAGAAGAGAACTGAAAAAGACCGAAAAGGACCAAAAACATGAAAAAGAACCGAAAAGGAACCCAAAAGAGCATACATATATTTATTTTATAAACAATGTATATATACATGAAATTTTGATTTTGTTAACAATTCCTCGTAATAAATGAACGCATAATTCGAACTTTATAGATTGTACATTTATAGGGATATGTGGACACAAAAAAAAGAGACAGTATAACTTGGATTTTAGTAATATTTTTTAATATATATATATGATAAATTATCATTTATTTTCTATCAAGGATTTTAATCTTATCATTAAAATATTTGTTTATAAGCATATTATATTGTTTAAATAGTACATGTAATATCTTAATAGATTTTGCAGTAAAAATAAATGAAAAGCAAATACTATCGTACTCTTAATGTTTATCCTAACATTTAAAAAAATATTTTCGTTTGTTTATATGTAGATGTTAGCATATTGCCCCGTGGCATTGGGTATGGTAATATAAAAAATGTACAAGTCAGCATCACCATTTATTCTCGGATGTTAAATGTCAAATGCACACAGAGATTGAAATTTGATCAAATCTACAAATTGGAGAGGCCAAAATCTACCAGATTAGGAAAGGGGAGAGATATTGTTAAATATTCAAATAAATACAACACATAAATAAATGTCTGAGCTTTTTTCAAAATTTATTTGAATAGTCCCTACCTGTAGTATATAAGATAGGCATCCGATCCTACTTGTAATTTTTCACATGTACATGTAAGTTAATTAGTCCTGTTGCAGTATAAGGTTTAATAAGAAACTTTTGTGGAAAATATCTTTTCATTTATAGACTTAAATGATTTGCAATTTGCTAGTCTCCTTCGATTACAAAAAAAAATCGATTTCCTTTTTGGTTCTTTTCGGTCCTTTTCGGTTCTTTTCTGTAAGTCGTCACTCTTTTCTGTAAGTCATCGGACCCCATGTACTTGTAATTGAAAGTAATGAATTGTATTGCTTTTTTGGCATGTTGATGATGTAGTTTATCTGAATTACTTTTGAATTACATTCAATAACATTGAAATGTTTTAAAACATTTCTTGTTTCTCTGATGCACTCACTCATGTATACTGCATTTAAAAAAAAAAAGGTATGCATTAGTTACTTTGATTTAAATGTCTTTTTGTACTTTAATTGTTAATAAGTATAATCACTATAATGTGTCAGAAAATTAATACATGTCATTGCTAAATACTGCAAAGTTTTATAAAATGTATAATAATCTTCATTTTCATTTAATAAGATTTAAAACCATGAATACCAATTCTTTGACATGTTATTGTAATGTAATTAATAACAGATATAGATTTAAAACCTTATGTAGCTGTTATAGTTTACTGCCTCAGCCTATAATAAAGGTGCATTATAACTGACCATCAAAAGATCAACATGATCAAAAGAAACACAAACATTTTCAAATTACATTAATATATTATTGTCTTGCCTGCGAAGAAAGTTGCAGTATGCAAGACATAGGTATTACTCTCCAGCGGTGGTGTATACTATTTGTATAAGCTTTATATTTCAGAAGGTAGAAGACCTGGATGCTTCATATCTTGTATGCAGATACCTTATGTTATAAAGTTTCCATCTGTCATATGTCTAATGTCTTTGACCCCATTTTCATGGTTCAGCGACTACTTGAAAAAAGTAGTTTTTTGTCATGTGAATTTCTCACTTATTATGAGAAATAAGACCATATTTGGTATAAGGGTTCCTTGCAACGTCTACATGTCCATCAGACAGGGTTCACCTGACCTCAAACTCATTTCATGGATCAGTGATCAAGGTTAAAGTTACGTGATTAGGTCTGTTTCTCAAATACTATAAGCAGTAGGTCAACTATATGTGGTGTATGGAATGACTGTATTGGGTTCATGTCAGTCTGGTAGGTTTCATATGACCTTGACCTCATTTTCATGGTTCATTGGTCAATGTTAAGTTTTTGTGTTTTGGTCTGTTTTTCAAGTACTATATTAAGATATAGGTCAACTATATTTGGTGTATGGAATGATTGTAAGGTGGACATAGATATAAGAAGATGTGGTATGAGTGCCAATGAGACAACTCTCCATCCAAGTCAAAATTTATAAAAGTAAACAATTATAGGTCACAGTACAGTCTTCATTTTCATGGTTCATTGGTCAATATTCAGTTTGTTTTGTTTTGGTCTGTTTTTCAAATATCATAAGCAATAGGTCAACTATATTTTGTGTTTAAAAAAATTGTAAGGTTTATATGTCTGTCTGACCAAATTTATCTGACCTGAGTTTCTGTGATGCTTTTATTAAAACATTTATTTTTAAGACTTTCAATACAAAATCAATGGTTTGTAAAGCAAGCGAGACATTTCAGCGTGTGCACTCTTGTTTACTTGTTTATGCAGGACATATTTGCCACTGTAGACCAAGTACCACCCATCAAATCAATCAGTCCAATAAATCAATAAATGCATTTCAATACAATTCAAAGATCAATTATATCAAATGTAATTTTAAATGAATGCATTTAGTAATCATCAAAACTCTTATAGATATCTGAATACCTAGAGAAGAAAAACACCATAGGAAATAATCTATGCCAGTCATAAATTTGTTGGAAATTTTCACATGGCATGTTCTATTATATAAAATTAATGAATATAATGGCACAGGCATGTGTGAAAATGATATCAAATCTATGGCTTACATGATTTATTTCCATTCTTAATAGACAAATTACGGTAATTCAAAAGACTGAAGTGAAGACTTTGATTCGTAACAAGAGGGTGATGTCACTGCAAGAGAATCAATAATGAAACTACACCTACCTCAGAACTACACTTTAATTAATTATTATCAGAATTTGATGTGTACATGTAAAGGAATAAATAACCTTCAGCTCGAGAGATTTCATTCTTAGGACATGATGTTTTAAACTGCAACAGCCAGAAATATCTACATTTGTGTATCTGCACTAAATATAGGTATCCAGAAATTTATCATGCTGGTGTTTACTACATTGTACAAAGCAAAAGCAGCACATTATATTAGTATTCATATTTTACAATATTTTTAAGCAATATTTTGAATAATATTTATAATTCTGAATCAATTATTGTACATGTTTTTTTCTGTGATTAAATTTGTGATATAACTTCTTTTCAGGAGCTGGAGACAATATTGCTAGCTGTGCGGTTATGTTAGAACTGCTGCGAGTTCTGTATATATCAAAAGACCCTCTCAAACACAACATTATATTCTTATTCAATGGAGCAGAAGAAAATATTTTGCAGGTTTGAATAAGAAACATTACATTTAATCTTCACAGTAATATTCATTGCTTGAAGTCAGTTTTTGGAAGGGAGAAATTATGTAATACATGTAAATACTTATTGACTGCATTGCTTATCAATATGTGTGGTATGGTTTTGACAATCATTCGCACTTGTTTAAGAACTGTTGGGTAAACAATTTATCTGTAAATTTTGATGTTTTTAAATTTATGTACATATACATCATGTGCACATGTTTACTAGATACTATTGTCAAATGAAATTTTAAAGTGAAGATCAAATCTTCTTCTAAATGTTGAAATATAAAGCTATCATAAATCTAAAATCTTGGCATAGGACTTTCACAGTTAAATATGAGATCTAATCATTCCCTGCAGATGGGCTACATAATAAAAAAATCAGACCAAAGTATGATGACAGACACAGAATTTGTAGAGATCAATAAGCTTATAAAAGAGAAAATTATTCAGGACATCATAATTTTCTGTTATATCTACTGTCACAGTCATTGCAAAGGTCAAACAGTTTTGTCCATTGAACATTTCTGCCCTTGAAAGAAATGTCCAGTTATAATTGGAGCTTAACATTTGCTTTTACACAAATGTTTGTCATATTTGGTCTTTTGTTAATCTTTAGATACTTTATTTTTAGGCAAGTCATGGTTTTGTAACACAGCATCCATGGGTTCCATCCATTAAAGCTTTTATAAACTTAGATTCAGCAGGAGCTGGAGGTTGGGAAACAGTCTTCCAAACTGGTAGGTGTTTTTGGGGTGAAGATTGCACAAAATACAATCAAAAGCCTGTTGTCACTGGCTTGACAGTTATATTTTGCTATTTATTATATACTTAGTAGCAAATACATGTAAATTGTATGTGTAATATGATCAATAGCATTAATATTATCAATGGTGCTGTATCAGCCATACGTGATGATATCGATATCAGTCATGGTTGCAAAGGCTTTATCACACCCTTAATCTGTATGATGTCAGGTCATCGACATCAATCACCGTTGCAAAGGCTTTATCAAACCCCTAATCTGTATGACGTCACGTCAAATGAAAAAACATCTACTTGAGATATATAATAAAGTGTATATGATATGGCTTTTTCAATATCATAAACCGTATCAAACCTCAACCAATATAATCCCTTGAGCAGAGCTCTTGGGATTATATTGATGTCTTGGGTTGATATGGATGTGATATTGAAAAAGCCATATAATATAATATTCTCTTTATATTGCTGTATTATAATAGACTAATAAAGTTGAAACTTGTATTTATTTCTATTCCATATCAAGAAACTAGTATTTAGTCAAGGTATATGCTGAGTCTTTTTATTGAAAGTTTTTATGAACAAAAGAACAAATAAAACAACAAATGACTTTTGAAAGCACTGGAAGTTTAAACTTTTTAAATATCTTAAATTGTATGAATGTAATCACAACCATAGGTATTACTTTTATCAGTAGGTGTTTCTTATTTTAGGACCAGAGCACCCATGGCTAGTCAAGGCATATGCTGAGTCAGCATTATATCCATATGGTTCCATACTTGGTCAGGAGCTGTTCCAGAGTGGTGTCATTCCTTCTGATACAGATTATAGAATATTCAGAGACTTTGGAAATCTTCCTGGTAGTATATTGATGTTTAGTGTATGATAACTTTTAGATTTTCTATCTTGGTGAAGTTATGTCAGTTATTCCACCCAATTCCACTGCTTCTTGAGTTCATATCCGAGGAATTTTTTTCTACTTCAAGTATACACAGTTTATCCATTTCCCCTATCCATTCCATATGTACAAGGATACATATATAGGGGATTACAACAGCTACTAACCAAAAGTTGGTCATGACAGTTAGGTTATAAAGTTAAAATCCAAATTAAGTTATCCAATATTAAATGACTTACTACTGTATAAATTGAAAATGCATAGGGTAGTAGGACATCCTTCTATCAAAATTAATTAACCAATATTTTGGTAAATGTGTACCATTTTTGGTTTGTGTTTTATGGCTACAAGGACCAGTTACCATCACTTATGAATCTGTCTGCTAAATGCCAGAAATTTTCATTTAATCTGAAATATCATATTTTTCTATTGTGCAATGTTGTGTAACATATATATAGAAATGAAAATGTGTGATCTTCTTCACTCTATAAATATGAATTTATCAAAAGTTTACTTGAAATCAGGATGGCTCTTTTTGTATGCTATGATGTAGAGGAGTATAAAGTCTTTTTGTCTCGCCTTGACGGAGTCAAAGAGCGAGACATAGGTATGCTGTTTCTGGTGGCGGCGGCGTCAACAATGTATTAGTTTGTGATTAGGTCTAGTTTATGGTGAACCACTAGTGGTAGGTAAATGATATTTGGTAAACAGTTGTATTAGCATTGGCACATCTCAATTCCATGGAGATTATTTGGCCCTGCTCCCTCAGTCATGGTCTATTGACTTTGAAACTTTGGCTTAGTTTACATGTATTAGTTTGTGATTAGGTTAGTTTATGGGGAACCACCAGTGGTGGGTCAGTGATATTTGGTATGAAGTTGTTTAAGCATTGGCATATCTTATTTCCATGGAGATTATTTGGCCCCGCCCCTTCGGTCATGGTCTATTGACTATGGAACTTTTGCTTAGTTTACATGTATTAGTTTGTGATTAGGTCAGATCAAGGAGAACCATTAGTGGTAGGCCAATGTTAATTTGTATGCAGTAGTATAAGTATTAGCACATTCATTTCCATGGAGATTATTTGGCCCCGCCCCCTCAGTCATGGTCTATTGACTTTGAAACTTTGGCTTAGTTTACATGTATTAGTTTGTGATTATGTTAGTTTATTGGGAACCACTAGAGGTAGGTCAATAATATTTGGTATGCAGTTGTATAAGCATTAACATATCTCATTTCTATGGAGATTATTTGGCCCCGCCCCTTCCGTCATGGTCTATTGACTATGAAACTTTTGCTTAGTTTACATGTATTAGTTTGTGATTAGGTCAGTTCAAGAAGAACCATTAGTGGTATGCCAATGTTAATTGGTATGCAGTAGTATAAGTATTAGCACATCTTATTTCCATGGATAATATTTGGCCCCGCCCCCTCAGTCATGGTCTATTGATTTTGAAACTTTTGCCTAGTTTACATGAATCAGTTTGTGATTAGATCAGTTTAAGATGAACCACAAATGTTAATTATATAAGTCAATGCTATTTGGTATGCAAATTTATTGGCATTCGCAAGTCTCGTCTCCTTGGAGATTATATAGCCCACCCTCTCATCATGGTTTATTGACTTTGAAACTTTTACATAGTTTACAAGTTAATGCTTGTGTTTAGGTTTGTTTAATGGGAACAACTTTTGATAAGTCAATGGTATTTGGTATGCAGTTGTTTTAGCATTGGCACATCTCATTTCCATGGAGATTGTTTAGCCATGTACCTTCAGTCATGATTCATTGACTTTGAATATATGCATAACTTACTTGTTAAAGTATTGCTATTTTAATTTCAACATTTGCATTATCAAAATTACTAAAAGGCGAGACATATCTCTGTGTTAACAGTTTATGAAATTTATAAACCCCTTTTAATACTTTTAATAAGATTTGTTTATAATGTAAGCTTAGATATTGCTCTGTGTGGAAACATTAAGTTTTATACAATTGAGGACAATAAAAAGTTATATACCTTCCCACAATCCATTAAAAACAACATATAATTCTGCATATCCTGTCTGAACAAAATCCAACGAAATTCGTTTTTTATGAAGTAAACAGCAGTTTTCTGGATATATACATATATATGAATTATGTTTTTATTGCACGTTTATTAATGTGTGACGGTAACTGGTCACAGACTCTATCGGGATCTCAACCAGTAGTGTTAAGAATTCTTCATTTACATTTCAGGTTTAGATATTGCTTATATTGCTAATGGCTACATTTATCATACACAGAATGATAAACCACAGTATATTCCATCAGGCAGTATTCAGAGAGCTGGTGAGTACTTCTTATAAACTGACTGATAAAATTGATATCTATATCTCATAGGAAGTATTCAGAGAGCTGGTGAGTACTTATTACAAACTGACTGATAAACCTGCGTATACACATCCTATTCAGAGAGACAGTGAGTACTTATTACATACAAAATGATAAACTGCAGTATATACTATGAGGCAGTATTCAGAGCTGGTCAGTGTGAGTAGAACTTTGTTACATACGGTCTGATAAACATAGTTATCAGTGTTCCCACTGTCTGTATCACTCTGCTCAGCTCTTCAGAAAAAAACATATCATGGCTTTGTGACTTCAAATATGTTAAACCAGCCTAAATAACTTTGACCCAGACATATCAAAGACGTCATAATGAATGAACCGACGTTGATAAGTTTGACCTGAACTTATCAAGTAATCTTCCGGTTTGCTGGTGAAATAAAGAAAACCCTTGTTTCTATCATGCAAAATACACAAATACAATTTGATAAATCAATTATCAGATTTTCATCATATTTATATTGTAAGCTATCAGCTGCTCGACACAATATGAAGCCTTTTTAAACTCGTTCATTGCACTCACTCGACAAAAAGATTTCGTACAGTCTGATAAACCTAGTTGTATCCCATCAGGCAGTATTCTGAGAGCTGGTGAGTACTTATTTCAAACTGACTGATAAACCTAGGTATATATATCCTATTCAGAGAGACCGTAGGTACTTATTAAATACAAAATGATAAACCTCAGAATATAATATCAGGCAGTATTCAGAGCTGGTCATGGTGAATTATTGTTACATACATACTGATTAACGTAGTTGTATCCCATTAGGCAGTATTCAAAAGGCTGGTGAGTACGTATTTCATACTGACTGATAAACCTAGTTACCATTAGGCAGTATTCAGAGAGCTTGTGAGTACTTATTACATACAGACTGATAAACTACAGTGTATCTCATCAGGCAGTATTCAGAGAGCTGGTGAGTACTTATTACATACAGACTGATAAACCAAGTATATCTCATTAGGAAATGTTCAGAGAAGTGGTTAGTACTTATTATACTGTCTGATAAACCACTGTGTATCCCGTCAGACAGTATTCACAGAGATGTTGAGTTCTTATTATTTACAGAATGATAAACCACAGTGTATCCCATCTGGCAGTATTCACAGAGCTAGTGAGTACTTATTACATACTAACTGATAAACCACAGTGTATCCAATTAGGCAGTATTCAGAGAGATGGTGAGTACTTATTCCATACTGACTGATAATCCACAGTATATCCCATCAGGCAGTGTTCAGAGAGATGGTGGGTACTTATAACATACTGACATAAACCTGGGAGTATCCCATTAAACAATATTCTGTGGGTTGGTGAGCACTTAATACATACAAAGTGATAAACCACAGTATATCTCATTAGGCACAATTTAAAGTGCTGTGGCTCTTTTCACAAAAAATCTTTAGATCAGTATGTAAGTTATACTGAAATGTTCATGATTTCCGAACATTTTTTCTCGTAAAATGTTTTGTGAAATAAGTCACTGATGAATTCTTATTTCATGCAAAATGATAAACTTTGGTGTATCCTATGTGGCAATATTCAGATAGCTATTGAGTACTTATTACATACTGACATAAACCTCAGTGTATCCCATCAGGCAGTATTAAGAATTTCAGAGAGCTGGTGAGTATGTATAAATATTGTAAACTAAATGATAAAGCATGATTTATCCTACCAGGTAATATTCAGAATGCTGGTGAGTAAATATAATTATCTTACCTCCTATACATTTCTAGGTATATGATTGGTTAAAAGCGTCCGCGTGGAGACCATGTATATTCCATATTAGGTTAGTAGGGAGGCGGGGCTTATTTCAATACACGGTTAGTAGTGGTGTTACGTCCCTTTATAAAAACAAAACAGTACTGAGAAAAAATCTTAAAGGTTTCAATAGACAAAGAAATTGATGATGAAGATTGAAATAAATTCATAAAACACATTTAAAGCTATATATGACAAGTTGTTATTGTTGATATCTGTTTTTGTATGATCAATTGAAGTAGTTTCTTAATGCTAACAGTATTGAAGAATTGCTCATTTTAATAGGTCACTAGACTAGATGTCTAAATATCACACGTTAAGATAGTCGGTAAGATAAATTCGTTACATAGTGTGCTAGTGACGTAATACGGTATTTATTGGGGTCAGTAAATTCCATATGGGGATTCGAGCTTCGCTCTCACCCCATATGGAATTTACTAACCCCATATATACCGTATTAGGTCACTAGCACACTATGTAACTAATAATATTACACACAAAAGATATGCATCCCTTTGGCCAGTATTTAGCATACTGGTGAGTATGTTTTTATAACTATGATAACAAAATGATAAAACTGGATATATCCTACAGGTTGTATTTAGATGTCTGGACAGGGTTTTTGCACAAACATCAATTGGTGTTAAAGGACATTTAATTTTTTTCGATACTTAAATCTGTTGTAGTCATTAATGATTTAATTCACAATTAAAATTAAATAATGTTTAACCTTTGTGCAACCCAGTTCTCTGGCTAGTACATTTGAGTATTGTTTACACCATAATATTATTATATTATTAAATGTAATTCAATTAATTATATAATTTGATAACCTGCATTTATCACGCTTTATCAAAAATAAGGACAACTTCCTAAAGATCCCCTTTTAAATTATCGATTATCATCATTTTGCATTAACCATAATATCAATGTGTAAATAAGATCTACCCTAGCCTATATGACTCAAGCAATCAAGTGTATATCTAATACATACAGGATGCTAAACCTTGTCTTTTAACAAAGTGACCTCTAAACTCTCATGAAGAGACAATTGTTAACCAATGATTTGTTTAAATAGTCTGTTTCTTTTCATTAAAACTATTAGACAAGTTGACAGGTTGCAAGCATTTTTATTTGAAAAGTGATATCTGATCATATATATCTAAGAAGCATTCTAACTGACATATTAAGATGGAGCTTTCTTAAAGAAGTAAAAATATACTTTTAACTTAAATTTCCTTTATTTTTTTGTTGTTGTAGGAGACAATTTGTTGAGTATGATAAAACACCTGTGTTCCAGTGAGAAACTTGAAGACCCTGGTGCAGATAAGCATGGGACTATGGTGTTCTTTGACTTTTTAGGACTATTTATGATTCATTATCCTAGCAGAATAGGAGCTGTTTTTAACTGTGGTCTTCTTGCGATTGTTTCAGTGACTCTACTGTTGAAATACAAGATTAAGTCCAAGAGGATCTTAAGTTGTGAGTTTTACACATAAGTATATATCTACAGGTCTTGTCTAATTGTGAGTGAAGTAGTGATGGATGATGATTGAAGGATTCTATGACTGTAATTTTAGAATTTAATGTGTGCATTTATTCTTGCGAATCACTGAAAACTGGTAAAAATGGGAGATTTAAAAATTTTCAGAAGCATTTTCACATTAATAAAAACATGTACATAATTTCTAAATTTACTGTATTTATATTGACAGGTCATATCATAATTGGTCACTCTGACATTGCAAAATAGAGAATTACTGGCTTCACTCAATTTTTTTTATAGAGGTTATTTTTTTAATGTTAGATAATGAGCAGGTGTTGGATGAATTTTCATTTCATTCTTTTTGACCAAGGATTTGTATCCTTGGTTTGAATTACTTCCCATCTAGTATTTTCATATGTAGCTATAAATTAATGTTGCAATAATTCTGTTTTTTACCCACCATTTTAAGTGTTTATTTTCAATAGCTGAGGTGATCATATTTTTACCACTGGCTACAATGTAATTACTGGTTGAAATCATAACAGAAAAAAATCATACTCTTTTAATTCAAGTATCACTAATTAGTGTTTTGTAGACAAAATGCGTGTCAGGCATACAATATTTTAAGTCTGGTTCATGTATCTATCATGAGTTTACCTTGCAGTAAACAGAAAGAATGTGCCATTTGGTTTGTAAAGAAAAAGTTGTTATTGTGATTATACATTTTCAGATCAGGATGTATCAACAGACAAAACCTTACTACAAGCTTTAGTTCTGTCTTTAGTATGTTGGATATTGTTGTCTGGAGTGGCAACCATTGTTGGAGTTACAGTTGACTTACTGGGACAACCTATGTTTTGGTTCTCAAGGACATACAATATTATACTTGTGTATGGTGTCATGTCAATTAATATCATCTTAGCATTCCATTATCTGCTGAAACATACAATTTATAAGGTAAACAAGAAAATATGACCCTGATTTATGCACTTTGCACAGTCTTAAATTACAAAACAAAAAACAAAGTACAAAATAAGATAATGATATGTACGGTTTTATGAAATTCAATAAAATATGGAGAAGAGTATGTGATAATATAAAGATATCAAATAAAATCCAAGGTAAAGTTTTAAAATTCCTGTAAAAGCTTTAATGCACCTTACTTCAAGAAAAAGACAAAATTTCTATTTAGTTCATTACACCTTGATAAAAACCATATCAACTTCAGGAAAGGAAATCTACAAAAGAGGAGGTATGATAAGAGCCATTATTTGACCCCTGAAATTGCAAAAATAGTAGAATTATTCAAGCCTTTTAAAATCAGGTTGATTCTATTAATAAATTAGTATCTGGGTATGTAGTGCACTTGTGATTTCATTATGCTGCAAAAAACTGGTCAAAAATTAATATCTTTGTAAAAATTTTGAGGCAAAACTGTGACTCATATCTTATTAGTTATGACAAGATCTCAAAATGATTATAAAGATAAGAAGATGTGGTTTAATTGCCAATGAGATAACTCTCCACCAGAGACCAAATGACATAGAAGTTAACAACTATAGATATCTGTACGGCCTTCTAAATTTTATCATCGGTATAAGGACATCATTCGTAAATAAACTCAACATGCAGACATCTTATACGTTCGGGTATTTCACATCCAATCTTTTATGGTAATATTCTTTACAAAGCACAAAAATGTCAGTATTCACCTCAAAAGCTAACAAAACCTTTAAACAGACTTATTAAGAAGGGATATTGTTACGATACTGTTGTCAGGTCATTAAAGATTGCATATTTTGGCTTTAATATTGATTCACTTATAGGGTCTTTGCATCGGAATTAACACATTTATACTTAAACCAGTTGTTGGCATGACACGGGTTATGTTCTTCTCATATATTTTATGACGGTATAATACTAAACCCCTAACAGGAGGGATTGTGCCTGATATTCATATGATGAAGACATAATCTTTCAATCAGTTTAATTGAGGTCTGGAACTGGCATGTCAGTAACTGCTAGTAGTCTGTTGTTATTTATGTATTATTGTCATTTTGTTTATTTTCTTTTGTTTCCTATTCTGACATCGGACTCGGACTTCTCTTATACTGAGTTTAACTGTGCGTACTGTTGTGCGTTTGTTTTTTCTACATTGGCTAGAGGTATAGGGGGAGAGTTGAGATCTCATCAAACATGTTTAACCCCACCGCATTTTTGCGCCTGTCCCAAGTCAGGAGCCTCTGTCCTTTGTTAGTCTTGTATCATTTTTAATTTTAGTTTCCTGTGTATAATTTGGAGTTTAGTATGACGTCCATTATCACTGAACTAGTATACTTATTTGTTTAGGGGCCAGCTGAAGGACGCCTCCGGTTGCGGAAGTTTCTCGCTGCATTGAAGACCCATTGGTGGCCTTCAGCTGTTGTCTGCTCTATGGTCGGGTTGTTGTCTCTTTGACACATTCCCCATTTCCATTCTCAATTTTATTCAACAATGAACAAAACCCATACCGCATAGTCAGCTTTAAAAGGCCTCAAAATGACAAATGTAAAACAATTCAAACAAGAAAACAAACGGCCTGATTTATGAAAAAACAATGAACGAAATACAAATATGATATACAGCAACAAACGACAACCACTGAATTACAGGCTCCTGACTTGGGACAGGCACATACAGAATGGGGAGGGTTAAACATGTTAGCGGGCACCCAACCCTCCCTCTAACCTGGGACAGTGGTGTAACAGTACAACAGAAGAACAAAATATAATCAAAGTGCTTGTAAGCACTGAAGGGTAAAGATTGCTTTTAATTTATCAGTGGGAAGTGAAATTAAACCTTGCATTGTATAAAGTATTGGATGTACTACAATTATGGACAAGGGTAGATAACTACAATCTTAAAGATTACTTTAACAATGACATCATTGATATTTTTAGAACAGATATTAAGATTCCTGCACTTACACATCTTATGTAATTTTCTTGACAAGTTTAACATCATTTTGTAACTTCAATATCTAAGCATATATTTCCTTGATAAATTTCTGGGAATGTTCATGGATAGGATGTTTAGAATTTTATGATCAATGCACTATATTTTGTGTATCTCTAAAAGTAGTGATTAACCTGGAAGATTTAGATATCAAGTCAGTACCATAGGGTTTTAATTGCATTTTATGCAATCTTTACCCAAAAATCAGTTGAAAAAGGCTTAACTCATCAGATGGATACAAAGCAGAAAAACATCTAACAAAAACACAGACTGGACGTGGCAGGGTATTTAGATATTTTTAAGGTAAAATTTACCAATATAAATGTCATCATTATTAAAGTAAATACCTAGAGGTTTGATCTTTTGATAATTCAAATAACTGTTTCATCCTACATTTTGGTTGTGACATCAGTGGTATGAAGTTTTGTTAAGTATGTACATTTTGTAACTATGGTATCTCTATTCCAGAATACACCAGATTGGTATGTGGAATCCCTTTACCATGATGCAACAATGATCATATTTTGTTTGATAACATTATTTCTAACTTACATGGACTTTGCATCAGCCTTTTTGCCAATGTTATGGATATTAGGACCATATCTAACCAGATATGTGGTCGTGCCATTTTTCAAAATAGATAATACTCTCGGTATGTATTATTTATAAATGTTCATTTGCAACATTTGTTTTTGTCAAATTTCATTTGAAATGTTATTTAACTTTGTTCAGATTATTAAAAATGTCTTTTGTCATAGGTTTAAGTTAAAGTATATGGAAGAAAACATGAATTTAGTATAGGAAATAATAATTTTTGTTGCCTTATATTGCTAGATGGACATTATATTGACTTTTACCTCATATTGTTAGATGAGCTGTGTATTGCCATTTACCTTATATTATAAGATGGGCAGCATATTGACTTTTACCTCATATTGCTAAATGTATTTAAGGCAATTCAAAAAATCACATGAATGCAAATTTATATTAAAATTAGGTATCTGTCTGCTCACTATTTATAGATACTTTGTATGTAGGTATATTAAAGATAATTTTGCCAGATATCAAAGAATTGCATTAGGACTATCAGAGTAGTCAATAAGAATGAATACATGTGGAAACTCTAGTATTGGAAGACTTTAATGAAAGCTTTTAAATAAACCAGCAATAAAAACAACCAATCTGGTATTACTTGTAACAATAGCTATTCCATGATTGCTAACCAGATGAGAGACCAGTAAATATTATTCAAAGAGAAATCTTGTATAATTGTATCTCAGAAGGCAACTTGGGGGAACAATGTTTTATCGATTCAAGTCCATATTGCAAAGGTTACATTTGACCCTTACATGAATTATGTTATATTTCTGTGATCTCAAAAATTTCAATTAATTTTAATTAACTTTTCTTGCAGGTCCATCATTTTCATATGTGTTTATAACCTTACTGGGTCAACTGTTCCAACTGTTATTCACACTTCATTCAGTAGAAGCTGTTTATACATTGTTTATACCCATAGCAGGAAGGGCAGGAGGCAATTCATATCCAGATATATTTATAGCAATGCTAACAGCTTTTACAGTTATAATATGTATGCAGTATTTAGTAAGTATAACACATTATTATACTTCACATCAAAATGCCAGATTTTGATTGGTTAATATGAGGGAGACAATTTACTCTATCCCATGGCAAAGACTCTATTACCCTTCACAGAGACGCTTGCTCAAGTTTGTGCTTTAATAAATACAGATGATTGTTATGTACAAGACGACATAGTTTATTACTTTGAATTTGAAATTTAATAGACAGTAATAACAGAACATTCAGTATAATAAATTAAATAACACATATCTGAGAGTTGTTACCCCTCGAAAAGACATTGTCAACCTTGGCTTCGCCTCAGTTGACAACGTTTTCTCGTGGTAGCAATCTGCTCTATCACCCTCTCAGCTATGTGTTATTTATATAATGTTGTAAATACAACCTGTATTCTGTAAATAGATAGGACATATTATGTGGCTTGTTTGATGTTTTATGTCATGATGATGTGTTATTAGACTTTATAAGAATAGAATGTTTTGAGAATCATAAATAACAAATGTACTATACTCCAATGTAAATCAAGAAAAAATAAGAACTGAACCAACACTAAAACATGATCAAATAAAAAAAAAGAAATATGTGCTAAACCAGTTAAGACAACACTTACATTTAAAGCAGACAGGAAAGAAACCTTAATTCCATTTTTTGTGCACTATGTTTATTTGCTAAGAGTTGATTATTCATCAGATGTAAGGAAGAATAATAATTCTCAAGAGTTTTGATAATGAATCTGTTTGAAGGGTCGTATTTCAAAACATCTCAAATTTTAGTGTTTGTAAGCTTAGTCTACTCACATTCACACACATATATAAATGTGATTTAAAGCAAATTACTATTTCTATTGTAGGTTGGTTTTGTATATTTATGTTCTAATATGAAGCCACTTCTTGCTGCATTAAGTGTGATATTAGCTAGTAGTCTTCTACTTACACAGTTTACTAGTCTTGGATTCCCATACAGTGGTAATTTGGAGAGTCCCACGGCACAGAGAGGACTGTTCTTCGTAAGACATTTCTTTCTTAGTCCTGTTTTTTAATTTGAATCGTAGGATAGAGAAAATTTGATATGAATTAGTTGTTGCTTTTGACTGGTCTTATTTTTTCTAAAGTTTAAATTTTTTTATATGATTATGTACAGTTAAACCTGTTAAAAATGAACACTGTTATAAAGTGGAACACTGTCTAATCTTAATTCTTGTGTCAGGATACACGATTTATATTCTTTAGTAATTTTATCTGTATATACCAAAACCTGTCTCATCTAAATCAAACTGGTTCAATTTAAGCATGTCTAACTGAATTATGAATACCTACTCATTACACATTTATTTTTTATCCATAAGCTACAGCTGTACAATCTAGCTGTCTATACATATGTATGCTCAAGATTACGTATCAAAATATTGGAGGAAAAGTGATGCAGAAAATGTGAAATTAAGTACATGTAAGCTTAAGATGTCTTTTCCAAAATTTGGTTATCAATATTGACTGAAAGATATTTCTATTATATCTGAATTAAAGCATGCATGTGAAGAGAGCAATACAGGCTACTTTGAACATCTGGTTTATTTATACAATCAAAATAAAAAGGAAGAACTATTTTTCTATAAAATTGTGCCTTCACAAAGACTATTAAACTTGAAATGAGATCATAAAAATATATTAGGAATGTTGGCATTTTATTTTAATTTCATAATATGAATTAGTTGTCTCTTTTCTTTCAGCATATTAACAGAAACTTCCACAACCATGATAGAAGTATCAATAGGAGTGATTCAGGGATATGGTATTTGGCATTTGACCAAAATGGTGCCAACTTAATACAAGACAATCCAGTGATTCGTGATAGCCATTATGTAAAGTGTGAGGGTAACTACTGTGGCATGCCATACATGTACCCGCTTATACATGTAATTGATGCTAGGTGGGTGTGGGATATTAAAATGCATGTTCTTTTATTGTGGCTTTATGTAAAGTGTCACTTGTTTTGTAAATTTTCTCCGCTTCAAAGTGTTAATGCTGTTATTTTTGTGTTGCTGCATATTTTGGGAGTCCAATGTACAAGTAATGGTAACCTGATGACAAAAGCTTGGTGTAAAAGTATTTATAGAATACAATTTATTTTTGCTGGAAAAAAAAAGAAAATGTCACATTTTTAAGAACAACAATGGAAAAGTTGATTTTAAGCAACAATAAGCAGCTTTTTAATAATCAGATGTAGAAAGTCAATATCATTGAATGAAAAACTACCAGGTAGTACCAGTATTTAATAAGATAACTTAGAGCCACAGACATCTATAATAACTCTGATTTCTCTCATCATAGAACCTAGAACTTAACACATGAATATAATTACTTTAACAGAAGCTATATCATAGTTTATAATAATTTGATCACAGAGTTTAAACTGTTATGTCATATTATAATCCACACCACATCCATATACACACTGTTCCCCATACTAACCAATATTATCTTGACAGACCATCTATTTACTGGTCACCATATCCATATACACACTGTTCCCCGTACTAACCAACATTATCTTGACAGACCATCCATTTACTGGTATCTAAAGGAAACATTTCTTGTTACACTAAAATGCATGCATTTTTTTTTGTTATCACAAACGTAGTTGATTCCACACATATTTATGTTTATATCAACCAAGATTCTTGTCAGTGGTCACTATGTATAAAAGGTGATGTGAGGCATATGTTACAGTACAAATTGGAATCCAGTAGGATCCAGAATCCTCCTTGTACTAGTAGAAATTTGATGATCCAGATTTGTAGTAGGATGATCCTGGATTGTACTAGATGTTTACTTAAAAAGTCATAATAAAAGAAATATTTTGTTTTTCTTTATAATGAAATAAACTAATATAATCGAACTTGTCTAATTCAAGCAGAAAAGCAGTAGGGATAATTTCTTATGAATTTATTTTACAGTAGTGCATTTTTCTAAAAGTCCTTTAATCTTTTCTAAAATTCACAGTATCATAAGTTCATATGAGGTACTTAAAAAGTTTTAACAACACTTTAGTTTATTTCGGAACATTTGATCAAAGTAAATATAGAATTGAGAATGGAAACAGGGAATGTGTCAAAGAGACAACAACCCAACCAAAGAGCAGAAAACAGCCCAAGGTCACCCATGGGTCTTCAATGTAGCAGGGAATTCATGCTCCCTAAGGCTAGCTTCAGCTGGCCCCTAAACAATAATGTATACTAGTTCAGCGAAATGGAAGCCACACTAAACTCTGAAACATATAAATGAACCAAATTCAAAAACACATCAGACTTACAAAGGCTAGAGGTTCCTGACTTGGGACAGGCGCATTAATGTGGCAGGGTTAAACAAGTTTTATGAGATCTCAACCCTCCCCCTATACCTCTAGCCAATGTGGAATAGACAAACACACAGAAATACACACAGTAAAACTCAGTTTAAAAGAAGTCAGAGTGTGATGTAAGAATAGGTAACCTAAACACCTATATATGGTTAAACACTTCAATTTTGACAAATTTTAAGCAATTATTTGAAATAAGTGTAAATCAAAATTCCAATTTCTACTGGTGGATATTTGAATTCCAATTTGTACTTGGAGAATTCTGAATCCTACTGGATTCCAATTTGTACTGTAACATAAACATGTCAATGAATCAGCAACCCAATGACACAAAAAAAACCAAATAACTGTCTTAAACATACTCAGTTCAACTCTTTGAAGTGTTTACAGAAAAAGATGATTCCTGTAAGGAGGGGGATGACACACTTTTGGGATATAGGATATAGGGAGTAAATATTTCTGTCAAGTATGTTCTCATGTACTACTGAACATAATATATCAGTTCATATTTGTTCACCATCTTGACATGATGAGTTGTAACATATGAGCACCATTCAGATCTTTCAGACAACTACTTTTGGTTTGGAGATACTTTGAATATTTCAATATGAACTAAAAAAACTACTTTGAATTATTAGTGGGGGTATGCTTAGCATGATAACATGTGCATTTTATAAATTTTCATATATGTTAATATTGATCAAACATTTTCCAATATTATAAAAAATACATCAAATCTTTTATTTTAAATTATGTAGCTAGAACAATGGCTTTTGAGTTTTAAAAAAAATTGACACCTGCTTTATCTGCAATAAATCTGTAAACAATCAATTACAAATTATCAGCAGAATACCTGAAAGTATGGCTGATAACCTTAGTGGAAAAATGTTTGGTTCCAATTACCGGTAGTCCATTGAATTTATAGAGAAGACTTTTGAATGAACTTTAATTGGTAGACCCACAGACCCTTGGACACTAAGTGATGATAAAATCTTGCATTGGCCTATTAGGCCAGCCGAATTTTAATGTGAAAAAGGTTTGTTGCTTTAAGCAGTACATTTAGTAGATAATAATAAACAAAAGGCATTTGTAAAATTGAACTATTACAGAAATTGGTAGTCTCAAAATGACACATTATTATCCTTTAGCAGGATTTTTTTGGGCCACCTCTTTCACAGTTGTCTATCTTGTTTTTTTTTCAGGCTTTCATTATACAGTCTAAAGCCACCTCCGGTTTTTAGAATTCCTGTTACTGTTAAGTTGACAAAGAAGATAATCGTCAAGGACAGGCCAAGAATTGTCAGATTTCACATTGATGTGACAGGTTAGTATCTTCCAAATAATTTTTTAATTAGAAAATAAGGAAACAAACAAAAGTATAAAATTCAAAGCCAATGAATTGAATGAAAAAAACAATGATATTATATATTTAGGACTTTAGGTGTGATGGGGACACTGAAGTCCAATAGTCTGCATCAAAGTGTGATGGTCTTTTCGCTGATGTGGGATGGTCTATATAATGCATGATTGCTAGTTTAAATTCTGCATCGATGATATGAATGGGTATGGTTGAAATAATAGATATGTTAAAAGAATTATCATTCTGCAATAAGCCTGTTTACCATATAAATTAGGATTATGTGATATTCTTGTACTGTTTGAACATCATCTGTAAGTACCCTGCTTATATTATAGTTTTATCTCAACTGTTAATGTATATCCCTTTAACGGTGTTTGAAACAATTGAAATACAAGTATTTTTCATATTATGTATGTAGTTACAATTTCATACTAAATGAGAGATTGTCCTCTTTAATTTTGCTGCATGTCACCATAATTCTGGGTCAACAGTTAATCTTAACTTTTTTCCTCTCATGAGTTCTACATTTACCGTAATATTATTATACAGAGATTCTGTCTGCCCCCCTGTATGTATTTTATTAAGAGAATGCCTCACTTCATCGTATGTAAAATTAAAGAACCTTTGTGAGCAAGCTAACATACCCCACACCCCTCATTGTCACTAGGCAAACAAAATACTAAGTTCAAAGACTCATAACTCCTAAAAAAGTCAACTGATAAAAATTTCTTGTGCATATGCAATTCTGTTGTGTATAGTGATGACAAAGTTGCAGTAGTATATTTAGGCCAAAATTTTAAGTTCCAAGGGGCCTAGAAAAAAAATTTAATCACAATTTCCTGTTGATATGCACATTTACATAGTATGTCCTTATCATCTACTAAGTTTCATGAAATTCTGTTGTATGGTTTCAGAGGATTTGAGAAGACAAACTGTTGCAGTAGTATATTAGGCCAAAATTCTAAGTTCAAAGGAGCATAACTCCTAGAAGAAAAGTTGAATCATAATTTCCTGTTGATATGCACATCTACATAGTATGTCCTTATCATCTACAAAGATTCATGAAATTCCGTAGTGTTGTTTCAGAGGAGTTGCGATGACAAGAACAGGACTTAGAATTTCAGCATAAATATACTACTGCAACAGTTTGTCATCACAACTTCTCTGAAACCACACAACAGAATGTCATGAAACTTTGTAGATAATAAGGACATAGTATGTAGATGTCCATATTCTAAAGAAATTTTTATCAGTTGACTTTTGTAGGAGTTATGAGTCTTTGAACTGAGGAATCTGATGAGACTTCGACAATGTGGGGCTTTGGGTAAACTTTTGGTATTATGAAAAATGAAAATTGTTATTGAGAACTAAATAAATAGAAGAGTTCATCTCAGACTGTGATACTTGAGTTAAGTAAAATTAATACACTTCAAAGTTGAATAGATTGATTGTTTATATTTGTAGGACCAGATCATTTGTCCATATATATTACTCCAGTCCCAGGTGCTGTACTTACAAGATGGTCTATAACTAATGATTCTCATCTATATCCAACAAGACTGCCATCAGGTGTTCCAGGAACTACATACTTCATTTACTATTCTTATGGAATAAAACCAGATCATCCATGGAATTTCTTTATTGATATAAAGGTATATAGTATTGTAATTTTAATCAGTTTAAAATTCTAATTCATAATTATCAGGCTTATGATACAGACTACAAGTTTCAGAAGGTAAAATTGAATAACACAATTCACTCTTGTCAATTTAGAATTAAATTACTATTGAAACTATATAATAGTGGAAATCTTTGTCAGAGGTGTTTTATCTAAGTTCTGCTTGTCATTTTTAAACAGCTCTTGGAAGAATGTGGTTATATTTGATCACTTAATATGAATTATATGGTCTTCATGATGGTATGAATTATATGGTCTTCATGATGGTATGAATTATATGGTCTTCATGATGGTATGAATTAATTAGTAATGGGCAGTTTATCAGAGTTTTTATGTTATAGGCACCTGTTGGATATCCAGAGGACAAGCCATTGGTTGATATTGCCTTGAATGGCCACTACTCACATGGCAAAGACAAGACATCTCCTGAATTGGATGATTTTATAAAGAGTCTCCCCGATTGGTTGGTCACCATGTCGTGGATATGTTCTTATGATTCATATTTGTTTTGAAAATTGTTATATTTTATATACCTATCAGTATTCAGGTCCATTACAAAAATGTTTTCTGGAAATTTATAATTTTTATACGACCGCAAAAAGTTTTGAGGTCGTATATTGGTATCATGTCGTAGTCATCGTCGTCCGAAGACAGTTGGTTTCTGGACAATAACTTTAGTAAAATTAAATAGAAATCTATGAAATTTAAACACAAGGTTTATAACCACAAAAGGAAGGTTTGGGATTGATTTTTGGGGTTATGTCCTAACAGTTTAGGAATTGGGGGCCAAAAAGGGGCCCAAATAAGCATTTTTCTAGTTTCCAGACAATAACTTGTGAAAAGGTGTATGGATCTTTCTGAAATTATACCACAAGTTTCCATACCACAAAGGGATGGTTAGGATTTGCTTTGGGGGGTTATGGCTCAAACCGTTTAGGAATTAGGAGCAAAAAAAGGGGGAAAAACAATGGTTTCCTGGTTAATGGACAATTTTTTAAGACAATTTAAAAGCAGTGTAAGGGAGGTAATCCAAACACAACGTTTTGATTACCTCCCTTACACTGCTTTTAAATTATGTATAAAGAAATGTTGTATTGTCTTGAGATGATTAGCTGTCAATTTATTTTTAGAAGTTACTATTAAGGAATATTAATTTTAGCCATGATTATGTATGTCATTTTCAATTTTAAGACTTTTATGATGTATTTAAATGGGTAATTATGGTTGCAAATTCCATTGGAAATTTGATTTGAGATTATGGCCATATCTTGAGGGGAAGAATTTTTTGGGGGAAAAAAAGGGGGGGGGGGGGGGGTGTGGGGGTTCAATACGCAACAGCATAGTGTATTGTTGCACAAATACATAAAAAGGGAGGTAAATTTTTTTTTTTTTTTTTGTGGGGGGAGGGGGGGTCAATTCGCTACAGCAAAGTGTATTGAACAAAATAAAAAAATTGAATATAAATTCAAATCATATAACCAATTCTAAGTTCTTTGACTACAGTTATTCTGTGTCAGAAACCTATTATGTGTCAAATATTTAATTATAATCCAAATTCAGACCTGTATCAAACGCGAATATCGTGTCCATTTTTGCCCCAACTGTTCAGGGTTGGACCTCTGCGGTCGTATCCAGCTGTGCTCGGCAAAGCAATTTATTTTTATATGAATTCAAAGTCATTTAGACTAAGCTTGATTCCTGTATCAATTAGCAATACTACATTTGAATCAGTGGGTACCATTATGTTATGTAGTGTTAATCAGCATGAGTTTTTATAGGTCACTATTTATTGTTTAGAGTTGTGAATCCATCACACATATACATATCCTTACAAGTTTGTACTTATATTTTGTCTACTTATATCATTGACATCACATAACTTTATATAAATATTGACAATCACTGACAAGAATCCTGGTTAATATAAACATAAAAATGTGGGGGTAAACATAGCTAATAAGACTAATATCCCAAAAACTAACACTGAGTCCCAATATACAAAGCACTGATGCTGAATAGTTCGAAAGTCCCAATATACCAAACCCTAACAATGAATAGTTTGTGACTCCTAATATCCCAAATACTTATAACACTGAAAAGTTCATAAGTCCCAATACCCCAAACACTCAATACTTTGAGAGTCCTAATATCCCAAGCACTAACACTGAGTAGTTCATAAGTCCCAATTTAGGCAATACCCATTCCCTAGCTGCCATCTCTACCTCAATGTATTATGCAAGTACTGTCTCAGTTACTTAGGGTGATAGAACAATTTTCAATGCATAAATGTTATAAAAGTGCCTTCTGTGCATGAAACAGATCAAATGATTATGCTTTTTTATATATTAGATATATTATGTTGAATGTGATTTTTTAAAGTTGAAATCAAAATTTGTGTGTATAGTTGTTTGATAATCCTTTTTACTATATTATATTTATATCATGTTCATATCAAATTTGTTACAGATTTATGTATAGTAATGTGATGTTTAATACTCCAGTAAAATGCAACGTTCATGACTGGCAGACTGTCCATGCTGTCCATGACCACATTCTACACTATTTACCTTATCCAGTATGAATTAAAGTAGCACAGTTAAAGACCTTTGACTATACTCTGGTTTATTGAGTTTAAAAATTGGCTATCTGACTTGTGTCAATAAATTTTAGATCAGGTTTAGAATTATTGGTAGAATTTATTCATGAAATACATTATTAAAGTGGTGGGTGGGAAGGGGAGGGGGGGGGGGGTGACCCTCTATAAAAACTAATTCAATTTTTTTTGTTGTTAATTTGTCAGAATTTTATTTTTTGACTATTTGACAATTGTGTTAATTTTTGTCTAGCCTGCATCAATTGAATGTTTCAGAATGGGAATCATAGGTAAGCTAATCTGTTGGTGACAGCAGCGTTTGCTCTTTGTTTAAAGCTTTATATTTTTGTAGATAAGGAGCAGGATAATCACTGTCTGGTATACAGATGCCTTATGGTCTGAAGTTTCCGTCTGGGATATATCCTTGACCTCATTTTCATGGTTAAATGAGCACTAAAAAACTTTTTTTTTAGTGAATATGAGTAATAGGACAACCATATTAGGTATATTGAGACATGATTAACCAGACCATGACCTCATTTCAAAGTTCAAGGGTCAACATTAAGTTTTTGTGATTACCTATGTCAATTTCTCAGATACTACAAGTTGTAGGAGAAATCTTGTTATATTTAATAAACTGCATGTATATAATTGAGAGAGATTGATTTTGATAATTTTATTTGTTGAGTGAGATGTGTGCTTTATTTCTGTGATATTTTTATTTACTTATTTCATTCCTAATTTCCTTTGGTCTTTCTCAGAATGTAGTAAAAGTTTTTTTCACTAAACATTTGAACAGAAAATATATTTGAGTCTAAAAATATGTCAAAATGAACTGTAATTCATACTTAACTGATAGTAAGTGTTGTTTAAAGTATGTAATTATGGCCTTATTTCCAACTTTTGTTTACCTAGTTTTTTTTTAATTGAATTTTACATTTATGTTTTGATTGAATTATCTGTATATTCTGGTATGTTTTGTATTGTACAGTTGCTTTTGGAGTGTACTTTTCTTCCTTTAGTTACAAAACATGGGTTCAAGTTACTATAGTTTCTATGACCTACCATTATTCACTGCAATTAAATTTACATTCTCTGTAGTCCTTTGTTGAGCATCTTCGCTAGCCAAGGGTTACGATCCACTTCCCTCCTCTCCACCCTTGGCAGATTAAGCCAACATTTTGTGATAACACTGTTGCACCATCTATTGGTAGATTAAAGTCAAGCCCATTCCGAATACATTATTCTTGACCAATGGTAGCACTTGAACTCTTCAATTTGGAGGTAAAACACGGTAGCGTCTAGATTCTACACACTTGGTAAAGCAAGGAAACGAAAATATATGTTGACATTCATGCATTTGTGCAAGAAACATACACGGGAACTTCTATTAATTGATTAAAAACATTCAAATTGTCACTAAATATAGTTGTATGCTTAGGGATGTAAAGACTTGTTGCACAATAAGCACGTGCCAATTGTTCACATACACTTTCTACATTTACACGTGATCATGCTATAGGCGCTTTTTGATTGGATGCAGCGAGTTTCGAATCATTACCTTGTGTCTCTGAAATTCTATCTCAATCCGCCAAGGGTGGAGAGGAGGGAAGTGGATCGTGACCCTTGGCTAGCGAAGATGTTTGTTGAGAAGTTTAATACATGTTTTAGCACTTGACTTTTATACTGTTAAATGTTTGTTGTTGTTTTATTTTCCTGCAATATTTTTCTGTACACTTTAAGATTTATCAGGTTATTGGTTATATATTAATTGGACAATTATGAGGTAATACAAGATGGTTTAGGTGGCTAGTCCTTCATTCCTGTATTCTTTAATTTTTGGGAGCATTTTTCTTCATCTTTAAAATTAACGCTTATTCTGTGAAATTCTCATGAAAATTATTTTACTTTTGAATTTATCTGTAATTATATGATTTATTTATTCTGTACATTGTTCATATCTGTAATCAGTTTTGTATTACCTAATTTGTTTTATATTCCACAGTAATTCTTTATACTTTTGCTCCCTGTTATTCTCTTTTTTTTTTTTCTTTTGCTCAATTTTCTCAATTTTTTAAAAAATTTGTGCTATTATTCTCCATTTTTTCATATTTTTTTGCTATTATTCTCTATTCTGCAAACCTCCTCAAGACCCTTGTAGAATATGATATAAATTTAGTGTAGATGACAAGTGTTTAGGTCATCAGGTATCCTCAGGACAAAAAGTTTAGGTAAAGCCTATTAAGAAAATGAAAAACATCGAAATAAAATTTTAAGGAAGTAATACAACTGTATCATAACAAGTGTTCAATATTAATAACATTTACTTTCTTAAATTTGTACCGTATATTCCTTTTCTGTGTATGTTTAAATGATATTAACAATATTTTGAAACAAATTATATAAAAATTTTATAATGTTTTAAATGTTTTATAATTTTTAAAAACTTTTTTATAAGAAGTGCATATTTTATGTTGTTGATAAATCACTTCGACAAAACTTTCTTGTTAACTGCTTGTTGTTCTTACAATGATAAACAAAAATAATGTATGCATGTTTATTGTTATATGTTGTAAATTTTCACATGCCTTTTCAATAAAGTCTTTTATCTAATTTGTCTTAGTTAGTTTTTTATTGTTTTTAACAGCTTCATCCCTGTTGACCCACTTTTGGTCTGCTTTATAACAGGGCTTTGAAATTTCTGCAACACACATTAAATAGAGGCTGATTCTAATGTTTTTGTTCAAACATAAAATCATCAAAAATACATCGTATATAAAATTTCCAGAATGACCTTTTTGTATAGTTTTGTAATTTCTGGTATAGCAAAAAAATATATACACATTTGCCTAAGACATTAAAGGCTAAAGAGCTTACTAGCATACCCTGAGATTAATAAAACACTGTTATAGTTATCTCAGTGTTATAGTAATCTCAGGCATACCTAGACTGTAGTTGGATTAAATGTGGCATATGGAGTCAGCATTGACCTCATTAACTTGATTCAATGACTACCATTAACTAAAGTCAAAATTGTTTTTGCCCTGAAATGAGGTTTTTTTTTATTTATTATGAGGAATATAATGAAAAAGAAGGGATATGGTGTATTAATACTTCAAATCCATACAAGCAATTGACAAAACCAAAAGCTAAGGAATAGTGCTTTTATAGACATTCTTCATTTCAACAGTCATGATGAGGCCTGTAGCTTGGATCAAAAGCTCACATCTCAGATCTCACTGCAAGTTCATGATAATCTCATAGTGCCGGTTTCAGTGAAATTCTTTACTATGTTTGATAATGCTACATATGTGCTGATTAAAGAACACAAAAGTGAGGTAATAGCGACAAATTATAACCTATTACATTAAAGAAAGATAACAAATACTCCAAATTTCCACGACAATCTCATTATAAATTACAAAAATATTACAATTATTTAGACAAACATAGGGAACATCAAAGTATTTGTTCAATAACTTGATATGAATTTTACAATCATTGTGACCTCTGATATCTCCGGGAATAATTCTTACTGAATGCTGACCTAAATATATGATAAACACATTTATACTAAGAAATGATATTTTGCTTTCTATGACAAAGACAGACATGAACATCTCACAAACAACAAAACTGAACAAAGATGCAGTGGTGTTAACCAATACTTAGATACGTACACTAAAATATAATTATCTGTACTTCTGATGTATATATCAAGGTGTTCAAATTAACTGAAAAATTTGGGTTGTATTTTTAAAGTCTTTGTAATAAGTTTTGTTAGTTTGCTTGTTAGTTTGATTATATTTCTTAACTAAATAATAGTACTTTTACAATGCATGTGATGGTCAACAAAACGTTTAAGACACAGACGGAGTTTTAATTTGAAAATCCTCCTCTTTCATGTCAATTTTAATTGAACAAATTATCTGAAAAGATAGGCGAAAGATACCAAAGTGACATTCAAACTCATGTTCAGTGGTTGTCGTTTGTTGATGTGGTTCATAAGTGTTTCTCGTTTCTCGTTTTTTATATAGATTAGACCGTTGGTTTTCCTATTTGAATGGTTTTACACTAGTCATTTTTGGGGCCCTTTATAGCTTGCTGTTCGGTGTGAGCTAAGGCTCCGTGTTGAAGGCCGAACTTTGACCTATAATGGTTTCCTTTTACAAATTGTGACTAGGATGGAGAGTTGTCACAATTGGCACTCATACCACATCTTATATCTATCATAAGTCGAAAATAAACCGACAATGCCATTGCAAAAAACGAAAAAGACAAAGAGACAAACACCAGTATACAAAACACAACATAGAAAACTAAAGACTGAGAAAAACGAAACCCACCAAAAACCGGGGGTGATCTAAGGTCCTTTGGAATGATAAGCAGATCCTGATCCATATGTGGCATCCGCGTCATGTTGCTCATGTAAGTACAAACCTGATGATAAGTCTAATTCGGTAGGTAACATTCATGGAAAAGAGGACATGATTGTGGTTACGACAATTAGAACAAATCCGTCGTCATCTGTATAACAGATATTCCATAAAGGTCAACCAACTCGTGAGGGGACGTGATGGTGTCAGTGAAATTTTCGAAGGAATGATTTCAACTTCACCACTTTGAGCTCTTGTTTTAATAGCTTCCTTGTGAGCAGCAACCCTCTATCAAGGAAATCGTGATAGGAAATGCAAGCCCTGGAATATCGTATCAACTGGGAGATATATGCTCCATATGCAGGCGCTGCTGGAATGTTGCTTCCTAGAAATTCCCAATTTGGAAGCTGAAATCTTATCTCTTTTGCAGTCAAGTTTTGTTCTCAACCGACCCTCGTTGTCGATTTCTATATGTTAGTCAAGATATGAGGCTGACTTAACTGTATCTGTTGTATTCTTTATTTCAAGTTTGATGGGATAGATGAGTTTAACTTAATTACCAAACTGAATTATTAATTGAGAGGACATCATCTATAGAGCGGAAAGTGAAGTTAAAGGATAATGCTAGCTTCTTTTCGTTCTTCCTAAGAAGCTCCTGTATGAAGTCAGCCTCATATGAATAAAGGAACAAGTCGGCAAGAAGAGGAGCACAATTGGTTCCCGTTATGATGCCGATTGTTTTGTTTGAAAAACACGTCCTCCAAACTTTACAAATATGTAGTCAATCAAGAAATCAAGAATCATGATAATGTTAGTTTCAGGAAAATTTTAGGTTGGAACAGAGTGATTTTTTTTACAAAATACGATTTATCCATACCTAAAACAAGATACTTGTATCTACATTGGCAATAATTTTTATGATATAAAGCAGGACCAATTCTTTTAATTTGTCTTTTAGTTTGGAATGGTGAATACTTGTGCAAAGGGTAGAAAAGTCAAGTTTTTTAATACTATTGCAAGATGAAAGAGTCTTAGATTGTATATACTCTTATTTTTGGAATGTTTTAGTATCTACATCTAGAATAGGTATAGCTTCACAATAATTTGGAAGCCCGGCTTTGATTGCTGATAAAATAGATGTCAATAATTTAGAAAGAGGTTTCGTGGATCACTTGGAAGACCCAGCAATTTAACGCTGTCTGTAAGGGACAACATTAAAAGATCAATGTAGGATAAAAAAACTTAATTTGAGGGGAGAGAGGGGGGATTCAAACATGCTGCAAGTTTTGTCATCCAACATTTATTTTTCGGGTTATAAAAACACATGCAAAGGTTAGATCCTAAATGTGTTTGGACTTTTCATAAAAGGTTGTAACTCGTACAGGGAAAATAACAGGTTTATAATTTGGTAGATATAAGAAGATGTGGTATGAGTGCCAATGAGACAACTCTCCATCCAAGTCACAATTTGTAAAAGTAAACCATTATATGTCAAAGTACGGCCTTCAACACGGAGCCTTGGCTCACACCGAACAGCAAGCTATAAAGGGCCCCAAAAATGACTAATGTAAAACCATTCAAACAGGAAAACCAACGGTCTAATCTATATAAAAATGAGAAACGAGAAACACTTATGAACCACACGCCAGATTCGCATTTCGTCTACATAAGACTCACCAGTAACACTCTAATCAAAACAGTTTGAAGGCTAACTCAAATATGAAGTTGAAAAACAGAAAATTTAAAAAAGTGAACTGTTTCATGGTATCTATGTCATTGGAATCATAATTAAATGGCAATTTTTTCATGGTATCTATGTCATTGAAACCATAATTATATGGCAATTTTGAATCTCAGTGAAACATAATACAGATAAACACAAGATTTGAAAGCAATATAGAATTACCGCGGGAACGGAAGAAAGATGTTATACATGTATAGGATATATAGATTTAAAATTACAGTGATAATTTCATGTACACTTCAGTCATTATGGATTTTGTCATGATTACTCTCCATCTCCTCCACTGAATGGTAAGCTACTAACAATCAATTATTGTCGATGAAACATCACTCATGATATTTAAAAAAAAAATCTTTTAAGGCATATTCCTATACAGGTTAATCAATATTTTCCAAATTAAGGTACAAAAGGGTTGGGGGGGGCGGGGGTGTTCCAGGAAAAAAAATGTGAATTAAGTTATTTATCCTACATCGAACTTTCGATGTGGTCCCTAATGACACTTATGTAACTTCGGTACCCAATACAGTGAAGGAATTAGATCCAGTTCTTCATCTTTGGTTGAAATCCCAAAGGAACTTAGAACAGACCCATGATTGTCCAGGATTTCCTGCATTGTAAATGTCCTGGTGGTATATATTGAGTTTCCAAGTGAATTGTCAATAACTTATTCATTTATCAAGCAGTTTAAGTAATGTGATTTACACACAAAAACGATGTTGTTTAGGGCCTTATCTGTTTTTGAATAAATAATATACTGTTACACCTCTGATTTAGTTACGGTCAAAATGACATTGAGATTACTTCTTGTCTATGTAAATTAACAGCTGCACATAACAGTTAAAATAACATAGCATCGATCTTCACCTAACAGTACATTTTGTAATCAGCTACCTGTAATAATCTCAACCTCAATAGTATGTTAAATATTTAATTGATACAGATATCGTGTCTACTAGGATTTGACTCAATGTCCGTACAAAACACAAAGCAACCGGAATGCAATTTCTTCATATTTTAACTTTAATTTCACTTATATTTAGTTATATCAGGGACGTTCTGACTATAGTTAGTATAGAAAGTCCCTGGTTAAATATATCGGAACAATATATATGTTCCTGTGTCAGTCCTGAATATATCAAGGAATATATATATAATATAGATATGGTTCTTGCTCTTTGTATTTTTGCTGACATTCCATCAGAGACTAGTCTCAACTTTAACTAAAATCTGATGCAACTATAATCCAAAGACATTATATGTCTCTACTACAACTATGTCTCTGCTATGCAAGGAATTGTATATCTAAATAGTCAAAATAGATCAAAATACACAAACCAACCCTAATTTGGCCTATTCAGTGGTATAAACGCAATGATTTTTTTTTTTATATTTTTCCTTGGGCCTAATACTAACTTTATATGTTGTCCTAGATTTTCCGTATTGCTGTCTAGATATGACATTTCGACATTTTACGGTCTTTTATTAACTATCAGTTTTCACGGATATTACCTTCGCCTCACGTGCATTCGACTTTATTTTTACAACTCAAAAAGCGTCTTTCAGCCAAGTGTTTTAAACCACATAAATCTGTGAGCAGAAAAAAGAACATAATTGATCGTTTGCCCATACGAAAGCTGATTTTTCGATTTTTCCTTGAGGCTTTTTTCATATTTCATCGAATACTTTTTGAAAACTTCAGAAGAATTTAACAAAAAACGGACAATTAAAATGACTGGTGCGGGTAATAATGTCATTGACCCTAGAAGACCGAATAAAGTTGTCAGGTAATAATTTTAACGTATAGATACTATAGATAAATGTTGACACTTTTAAGTTATAAACAGTAAGGCAGTTACATGTCAGTAAATTTAAACTCAGTGCCCATTCCCTAGGAATTGGAAGAGGGCGTTCTACCAATATTGAAAGAAAACAACGCATTTGCCTATCCTGTAATAGACAAGAAATTAGGGATGAATACCACCCTAACCCCATTTCTTCGCAGTCTACATGTGTCATGTATATACTGATATTTTTACAAGTCTAAATTGAAAACAATTTTCTTGCGTTGGATCAAAACCTCGATTTTTATACATGTGCATGCAAAACAAATTTCTTGTCAGGGGTGTAGCTATGTATCCAATAAACTGTAGGCACAAATTGCGGCAGGGGGTCTGGGGGCCGCAGAAGGCCCCCAGCAGGTACAGGGCAGAGCCCTTGTTGGGGGATTACGGGGGGCGAACCCCCCCGTCGGAAAATGGTTTTCAGCATTTTAGTTGCAAAATTTTGTGTAAAAAAAAACCATGAAAACTGGTCATTTTATCATGATAATATACATGAAAAAAATTTTGAAGAAATTATAATATACATAATTTTACGATTACATCTTACTGATGAATTAACCGGCAGTACAATCGAGAATATATAAAAAAAAAATATTTACAATATGCATTACCCAGCGTGGATCAGCGTAGCCCTTTATTAAGCAGCACAACCTGTTTAGTATTTTCATATCTTTTCCTTTCTGATTGAGGATAATTGATATATACGTCAATTGATAGTACATATTGACGATCCTACATTTAAAAGAAACCTTCACCGTCCCCTGGCTACACAAACACATACACACACAGTCTATGCCTCATGCAGAATTTCTGTTCTGTTCATACTATCGAACAAAATTCAAGAAATTGATATTTCCTTATATCCTGTACTGTAAAATCACTACCTGCTTGGGAATTTGAATAATTATGGTCATTACACGTAGATCTGAGAGTACTCGAAGTTACTGAAAGCTAGTTGATTGATTGATTGATTGCTAAACGTCCAGTGGCAAATAGTTCATGCATGTTCAGGACAAAAACAAATTTACAATAAATACAATAGGTACATGTAGCTAGGTCCTGTAATAGGGGTCGTCCAGGACGAAGGTCTGGAAATTTGGAAACGCCATGCATTGGAAAATGAGGGTTTATTTGATAGGAACAGAAATTTTGCCTTCCAGTAGACCACCTACGACCCCCTCAAAGAGTTGTTGCAAGTTTCTTAACGTGCAGAGAGCGTGGCATTCTCTCTACACTAAGCATCGGATGTAACGTCCTCATTCTGACCAGATGTGACTGCGTATTTATACATCCTTCAGAGTTCATAGCAAAACGGACGCCCAACTTTGGCAAGGGTTTTACTATAGGTCGGATGAAGACCAAGTGGAAAGCTAGTTGAAAGCCAACAACAACTAATTAAAAAAATCATGTGTCTAAGTTGAGGTTCATTCAAGTATTTGTTGATATAAGACAAATGATCTGAACCAAAGTTCTAGTTTATAGTTTCTATATAAGGGGGAATATAATGCCATACAATTCTATCCAATACTCCATTCACTAAGGATGATAGACTAGTGTTCACATGACATTCGATAATTAAAGAGTTTTGATGACTTCACTGGCGTGCATCTACAGATAACGTTGTTTATTATTTTTTTTAATAAAAAACAAAATATTTGTGAAAAAATTATGTGTAGGCACGTGCCTAAAGTGCCTAACGGCAGCTACGCCCCTGCTTGTCTAAATACAGTACAAACAACATTTCCAAAAGACCAAAACATTTTTATACGTGTGCATGCAAAACAAATTTCTTGGTAGAGGGGTCTAAATACAGCACAAACAACATTTTCCAAAAGACCAAAAAAGTGAAAAAGTATATTTTAACAAAACGCACTTGACTAGCAGGTCGAACAACGGATGTTCTTAAACCCTGCTGACTGCCATGGCCATTGCCAAATAAACGGATCACCAGATGTAACAAAATGGATCTTAATTATAAATTTAATACCAAATAGAAAACAATAAACTTGCGGAAAAGATGGTATACCACAAACATGAGGTGCAAAAATTTGTACACCATATCCGGATTTCGACAATTAATGTCTCTAAACAGTGATCTTAGGAATCGAAACGGTATTTGGAAGGCCAGATAATTTACCTCAATTTAGGATTGACTCTTGAATTTTGAAGAGTCAAAATAGGATGAACGGTTTATATAAACCCGAAGGCAAATACAATACAAGCCCAAACGAAAAAATATAAACAAGTCTAAATTGAAAACAACGTTCAAACCTATGATTGTGTTGGATAAAAATACAGCACAAACAACATTTTCCAAAAGAAAAAAAGTGAAAAAGTATATTTTAACAAAACGCATTTGACTATATATTTTGATAAGATTGTCATTTGCATGTAGGCAGAAACAAAAATATGCATTCCTTTATTTTGGCATTGCACAAGGTACATGTAATTTTTCCCTGACTCTTAATGACGTCTTTACACTAAATCCATTGGCTGTTGGATGTGTACTGATTGATATTTTAGTCTTAGATGCATGATTTTCTTATTACATGTAGTTGTTATTGGCTTTGAACTAGCTGTCAGTAACTGCGAGTACGAGTACTCTCAGATCTGTACTTAGTGTCCTTTTTGTTAGGGATGAGGGATGGATAAATACCCTGCCACATCAGATCTGTGTTTATGTTTGATGTTTTTCTGCTTTGTATCGATCTGATGAGCTTTTTTCAACTGGATTTTATAGTTTGTTCTGATATTGTGCTGGAATCCATGACAACTTGCCCCACTGTCAAATCGCCCCATTTTTAAAAAAATTGCCCCACTCTTGTTTACCAACTCGCCCCACTTATGAAAAAGGGTAAAATCCTGTTGAATGTAGGTCTGACAACTGGCCTCTCTTATGAAAAGGGTTTAAATCCCGCTGAATAAAGGTCTGCCAAGTCGCCCCACTTAAGAAAAATAGAAAAATCCTGATGAAATTTGTCATGCCAACTCGCCCCACTGATGAAAAATGATGCAATCCCATTGAATATAGGTCTACCAACTCACCTCACTTATGAATAAAAGAATTAAACTGTACTGTATGAAGGCCTACATGTACCAACTCGCCCCAAATATGAAATTAATGAATACATGTACTTATGAAAACCTTAGAAATACTCTTGTTTTTTTAATTCTTTAATTTTCTTTTGGTTGAAATAAAGCAGAAAGAAGTGAGTATCAGCATTTCTGTGCCAATAAATTTGTCAACAACAACAAAACCTGCTTTGACTACTTTTACTTACAAAAACACGACACACACTTATTGTTAATGAATGAATTGACACTCTCTTTGATATCTATTTGAAAGAAACATTTGTCTTTCACTGATTGTTCGTTAGTGTTTAAATGCCAGATATAAGAAGATTTAGTATGAGTGCCAATGAGACAACTCTCCATCCTAGTCATAATTTGTAAAAAGTAAACCATTATAGGTCAAAGTACGGCCTTCAACACGGAGCCTTGGCTCACACCGAACAGCAAGCTATAAAGGGCCCCAAAAATGACTGGTGTAAAACCATTCAAACAGGAAAACCAATGGTGTAATCTATATAAAAAATGACCCTTTTTCATAAGTGGGGCAAGTTGGTAAACCAGTGTGGGGCGAGTTGGTGAAAAAGTGTGGCGATTTGGTGTGGGGCGATTTTCCAGTGGGGTGAGTTGTCTTACTTCCGTTGTGCTGTTACACCACTGTCCCAGGTTAGGGGGAGTGTTGAGCGCTCACAAACATGTTTAACCCCGCAACATTCTATATGTGCCTGTCCAAAGTCAGGAGCCTGTAGTTCAGTGGTTGTCGTTGGTTCATGTCTGTCATATTTGTTTTTGTTAATTGTTTTGATATTAATTAGGCCGTTAGTTTTCTCAGTTGAATTGTTTCATATTTTTCATGTCTGGGCCTTTTAAAGCCGACTATACGGTATGGGTTTTTCTCATTGTTAAAGGCTGTACAGTTGCCTATAATTGCTTATAGATATAAGAAGATGTGGTATGAGTGCACGTGCCAATGAGACAACTCTCCATCCAAGTCAAAATTTATAAAAGTAAACCATTATAGGTCACAGTACGGTCTTCAACACAGAGCCTTGGCTCACACCGAACAGTAAGCTATAAAGCGATATATATCCACTTTATTTGAACTTTGGTGGATAGTTGTCTTATTCAGACATTCATGATTGGCAATCATACCTCATCTCCTTATTTTTAAATTATACTATTTTGTCTCTTATAATGTAAGGAAAAGTTCACAGGAAAATTTAATTGAAATTGTATGAAGTTAATATCTACTGGATAGTATTTCAACATCTTTTAATGAGAGGAAATTGAAAGAATGCATTTGCAAATCATATTTGGTTTGGTATTATAATTGCTAACAAAAATGGCGACGGCAAGCAAAACGAAAACAAATATGACTACACATTCACATTATAAAGCAGTTAATTAACAATATTGGAAATCATTTGAGGATGGCGGAAGATAATTTTATGATGGCTGGGATCATCTGAGAATGTCGGAAGATAATTTAACAAGGCAGTGCGCCATCATAAAATAGGCCATGAAGATCCCTGAATATCTTTAAATTAAACTTTATCACGTATATGATCTGTTGGTTTTAATAATTTTATGTATTTCATACAAAGTGTAATTAAAACCATTCTTTTTCTCTGAATGAACTTATAAAATTAGAATTAATTATATATATATAAGGAGTGTGGTATTTCAATTACTGTGTTTATTGGAAATTGAATAAATTTTACAAGATTGTAAATGAAATGTTGTCCATGTAAATGTCTAGTTTGGCTTCAATTCACTCTTCACATTTTATGTCAATCGTCTTCTGTCAGGACTCAAAACTTAAAAATGTAGAATTTTTTAAAATGCTATGTCATTTAATTTATTTACCAATTTGAAAGATCCATATAAATGTTAAACATGGTTAAAAGGGAGAACAAATTAATTACTATCAAACATTTGTACAAAAATAGACATTATTTCCTATGATCATACTATCAGGTTTGGGGCTTTTTCCCTATATTTTTATCAAATATGTTTTCCCAATTAAATGTCTTTTTTCCTGTGATTTTTTTTCTGTTTATGGGGACAACTGGTGTAACTTATTAATATAAGTAACTGGAAATCTATTCTACAAGTTAAGATTTGTTTACACTAAAACTAATGTGCTAGTTAATAGTTAAATATTATTCCACAGTTGCTTTAGTCAATAGTGTTCTCCCCAGGTCCTTATTGTTAATTTCCACAGAAAGTTAAGTTGCACGTTTTTCATGTTTTTTGTTTATCTTTGTATTACATGTGTATATGATGATTCATAGGGCCCTCCCCTCCTAGTTACTGTTTAATGCCTCTTACTTTACTACACATGCATGCAAGTGTCACACTTTTTTTAAAAGTTGCAGATTTGGCTAATTGTAGAAAACCTCATAGCTCTTGGTGTGTATTCACTTCTACAGTTTTGGTTAAATTTGTATGATGCCGTTACAAAAATGTAGCAATTGCAAAGGGAAGATTGGTCACCTACATTGTAGTTTGAAATAGTGTGTTAGTGTTTATAGCCCTCTAGAGCTTGTGAATGTCTAATTATTCCACTTTTTCTGGAATTAACTGAATATAAATACCGGTCCATTTTTGTGAATTACAAAGTGTGCAAAACAATTATTTGGCTCTCTATCACTTTCTTGAATCATCTTAACTCTGATTCCCAAGCATTTGATAGACCAATCATCATATATATGTACTAAAGTTCTGCTTTCTCTAGACAATGTGCTCTTTAGATGGAGTTACCAGTCCCTTCTTACTATGGGTAATGGGTCTAGAATCAACCTATTGTAATAACATGATGATTGATGGTGTTTGCCTAATATCCAGTAGCAAATATTTCATGCATATAATTCAGGATGAGAACCAACAAGAAATCCAATAGAAAGGTTCTTCCAAATGGATGGACTGAATAATAGACATTAGACTATTTATTTATGCAAACACATTTACATTTAATGGTTATGGCATGAAATACAAACAATAAAACAAGAATGACAATTGTACAACTATACTGGAGTGGTAATGGCTTTCATATGAAAAAAAAACTGAAAAAAAATGTTGACATGTAAAATATCTGTGTATCCTTGTAAAATCACTTATTTTTATGAACAAAAACAAAGAAAACTTCAAATTAAAAGACAAGTTTTCTTAATTAGAGGTCTACCATCATTTAAATATTTTTTATATTGACTCACTGGGGAAACTCTTCTCAACAGTGTGAACATATGCCCGAGTTATCTTGCTGAATATAATTCAGTAAAAATTCGAGATGACATAAGACATATAAGAAGAACAAATAAACAAAACTGTGTTTGAAATTTTTCAGGTATAAGCCACCACAACAAGGAGGCCCATCTGATGATCCTACACCTGATTATATGAACCTGCTTGGAATGATATTTAGTATGTGTGGACTTATGATGAAGGTAGGAATTTAGCCTTAAGTTTTGACATCTGTGCCTTGATAAATTTGATAATTCAGAACTGAAAATTATTTTCTACACAATAGGTTGTTAAACAACAAATGCTTAATTGTTAGCAAGGATATTGTACTTACTCATAAAACAGTTGAACTGTTCAGTATGCATTCAAGACAATATAACAGGAGTTTCCTTTTCAAATATTGAGACTGGTACATGTCTTAACTACACTACAATAATAACAAACACAAAGCAATGCATTTAGCCGTGCAGACTAACAGAGCCGGCGTTTAATGTATATTTTATATTATAAATACATATATGAAATACAAATACATTCCAAATTGAGGTACACAGAAAGAATAAACATCTAAAGAATTTCTACTATGAAGCAATAATAGCCCATATCTCTATGTATGTATGTAAATATATCCGTCTTTAACGTAACCTCGCCGCCCAGGAAAAACCACAAAAATTTTACTAAAGAAAATTGATATGGAAACCCGTGTTACGGAGCAAGTGCAAGGCACGCCTAAGGACATTGATGCCGAACTTCATCAAAAAAACAAATTAACATATAATATCAAATATTATGAAATATTGAAGTTTAGTGTTGAACGTCTGCAGCTAGAATGATTTTCAAACACAAGAAAATGAAAAACCCGCTTTCACCTCATTAACATAAGAATACTTATTGACAATCCAAATGATTGGTCCATGTAACCATGTGTACAACTACACATAACAAAAAACCGCCAAAACATACCGTTCTTAAAAAACATTCCTTTTAGACAACATTTTCCCGCTAATATCCGAAACGCGGGAAAATACATATACTATCATGATTATGGAGGCTTTTTTTGATGTAGTCTATGAATACCTTATATAAAAATTCCATAAGTCATGTTACTATTAATAATAGAAATTAAATATTATAAACTAATTGACGTGTTTTGTATTTCAGTTAAAATGGTGTGCTTGGGCAGCAGTTTATTGTTCTTTTATTAGTTTTGCAAATTCTCGTACATCAGAAGACACCAAACAGATGCTCAGTAGTTTTATGTAAGTATTAAATGTTCTATACAGGTGTATACAAAAAGAATATACAACATGTACAATGTTTGAAACATATATGAAAATAAAAATGTTAAAATTAAAATTTCTTATCAAAGCAACTTCTCCTGCAGTTTTCAACTTGTTGGGGATTTTATTCCTATTTTCCAATACTAACAAACTTAAGTGAATTTTCAGCAAAATTTACAAAAAACGTCTCCTATTTTCTGTTATTAACTTATCATACAGTTTTCAACTTAGACCCTTGAACTTTACAGAAAGCTTGTACATATATTGTAGTTTTGCACTTTCTATAATCATGATAATGGAGTTTATAATGATTTTTTTCCTTCTCTCCAGTTTTGGAAACATAAGCCACTCATTGTAGTTTCAATCCAGAACCTTGAAACTACACATGAAATATTGCACACATATTGAAGTTGTGCGCCTTCTGTTATGGAATTGTTTTTAAGAAATATTTTCCAAACTTTCATTTATATTTTATATTTCAATATACAAATGTATATATTTTTAAATATTCATTATAAACCATTCTCCATTGTTTAACAAATTCTGTGCAACCCGTCCATTTGAGTCTTGAGTCCATTTTGATATAATATTATGTATATTTCATTTTCAGGTTATCAATATCAGCAGTTGTGATGTCATATTTACAGAATCCTCAGCCAATGTCACCACCATGGTAGCATTTTTTATCAGAACCTTGTTACTTCATTCAGAGTAAAGTTGAGAAATGTGGTCTTTAATGTGTTTACATTGTATTGAGTATACATTGTTTGAAGAAAATATGTAATTCCATTCAAATGTTCAAACTATTCATCATGTTCATTGATGTTATGCTTTTATAACATTTAAGAAATTAAGAACATTGATCCACATATTCATGTTATTCCACAACTATTTTTAAACAGAACTGAAAAAGAAATCATGTACAAAGTGTAAAATAGAATGAATGTTCAGTGCAATAAAGATGTTTATAAATTGAAAGTATTTGACTATTTCTACTCTCATTTGTCAAATAGTTTCTCTTTGTAGGAGCTTTGATCTGTTAAACATTGGGAGACCTGCCAACTTGCACAATTTATGGAGGATTTTCCCCATGGGAGGTGTTGACTTGAATATTGAAATTCTTTATTATATAAACTAAACACCTTAAAACAGGCATTCAAATGAGTAAAAAGGTATTTAATCACATACATACTCACTCAAACAAAACAGTATTAGATTAAAAACACTTTTGAAAATACAAGAGAAGCATTAGGTCCTCTAGCGCTTAAAATCCCCCATGGAGATTTTGAAAGTTGACAGGTATGCATTCAACACATTTCACCTGAATTTATATATTACTCTGTAAAAAGAAAAAAAGATTATGATATTAGAATAAGTCATAAGTGAGACAGAAATGTTACAGTTTTTACTGATTGAAGAAAAAGGGATACGAGTAGATGTTCATGGGTAAATAGAACATGAAAAATTATTTCCTGCAGATACTAGTATCTTTAGATCTGTTTAGCAGAAAAAACATTTTATTGTCATTGCCATTAATATTTAAAAGGCAGGATAAAATCTACCCATCAGAACATCAGTTTTGATTTTAAGATACTTGATGCATTTAATTTACATTATATTAGCTTGTCAATTTCCAACTATTTCAATATAGTAGGCTCTAATTTTCTAAATCCTGTGTATTTATAGTTTAAATTCAACTATATATTTATGGAATAATGTTGAAAGTGTGAAAATATAAAATGATGCTCATAGTCCATGTTAAACACAGCATTATTAACCAGATTTTCTGAAGAAAAATCTGGTTATTAAAATTATAAAGTATGGCTTGTAAATCGTTCAACCAATGCTTTTTAAATTTTGAATTGTTGCTAATGATGAAAAAAATGGAGGTCATAGATATTGGCTATTTTCACTTTTGCCTTTCAGGAGTTGTGGTTCTTGATATATTGGAAATTGACACTTTTTTCCGAACTGCTACACACAGATGTGTCAAGTAAAACAATATGAAAATAAGATGTGGTATGATTGCCAATGAGACAACTCTCCACCAAAGACCAAATGACGTATGAGTTATCAACTATAGGTCACCGTATGGCCTTCAATAATGAGCAAAACACATACAGCATGAAAGCCTGAACGCCCCATACATTAAAATAATGTCATTGGTTAGAATATTAATATTTGCTGCTTCTCATCAAACCACACAAACCTTAGGAGAAAGAGCAGTGACTGGTTGGTTCAGATTAAGAACAAGGTATCTGGGTATGGCAATATGTCTTCCTGTAGACTTGTGAACCTCATAGATACAAAGATTTGGTTTGGAAGTTTGGCTGTATCTGTAGAAAACTTAATACAATCAGGACAGCACATCATAATTTTAAGGGTGATGCTGTTTATGGAGCTGGTAAATTTATATATAATCCAGGTTAACTTATTGATCCTTTAAATTAACTTTTTCTAAAAGGTAACCAATTATATCTTTGAACATTGTTTTTATCAGTATAAATATTGATTTTGTTATCTATAGTTTAACAAGAGTGCACATGCTGAAATGTCTCACCTGTTTAACTTATGATTGAATTCATGTTCAAAGTCTGTAATATGAAGGTTTTACTAAAAGTATCACATAAACTTAACAATATCAATTATCCATGAAAATGAAGTAATTCATGCCAGACAGACATGTACACCAAACAATCATTCCATGCACCAATTATAGTGGTCCTATCATTTATAGTACCTGAGAAACAGATTAAACCACAAATTCTTAACATTGAACAATGAACCATGAAATGAGGTCAAGGTAATATGAACCCTGACAGACAGACATGTACACCTTACAATTATTCAAAACACCAAGAAACTGATAAAATGACATAACAACAAAAACCTATCATTGACCAATGTACCATGAAAATAAGGTCAAGGTCATATGAAACCTGCCAGACAGACATGTACACTTTATAATTATTCCATACACCAAATATAGTGACCCTATTGCTTATACTATCTGAGAAATATACCAAACCACAAAAACTTAACATTATCCAATGAACCATGAAATTGAGTTCAAGGTCAGATGAAACCGGACATATACACCTTACAATCATTCCATACACCAAATATAGTTGACCTGCTTATAGTATCTGAGATTTGGACTTGACCAAGTAGCTTTAACCTTGATCACTGATCCATGAAATGAGGTCAAGGTCAGGTGAACCCTACCTGACAGACATGTAGACCTTGCAAGGAACCCTTATACCAAATATTGTAATAAGAGAGTACAAAATGTATTTCAATTTTCAAAAATAGCTCGTCATGGCAAATAGCTGCTGCCGGATTGTAATCCCAATCTTGCATTCTGCGACTTTCTTCGCAGGCAAGACAAAAACCTAACTAATTATTATTGATATATACCGGTACATCTATGAACAATCAGTCTTACAGTCTGTCAATACATATATTTTGACATTGCACAACATCATGTTTTTCTCTGACTGTTTATGATGTCTTTACACTAAATCCATTGGAAGTTGGATGTGTTGATTGATATTTTAGTCTTAGATATATAATTGTTTTTGGTAGTTATTTGCTCTGAACTATCTTTTAGTAACTGCAAGTACTCTGATCTGTACTTGGTCTTTAATGTTTTTGTTAGTTGTTTTTGTGCTTTGTATTGACCTGATTAGTTAAGTCCTTTTCAACTGATTTTTATACTTATGTTGTACTGTTACACAACTGTCCCAGGTTAGGGGAGGGTTTGGTGCCCACACACATGTTTAACCCTGCCACATTCTGTTGGTGCCTGTTCTAAGTCTTGAGTCTGTAGTTCAGAGGTTGTTTCTGGTTCATGTCTGTCATTTGTTTTTCGTAAATTGTTTTGTTATAAATAAGGATGTTAGTTTTCTCGATTTGAGTTTGTTTCACATTTTTCCTGTTGTGGCCTTTTATAACCAACTATACAGTATGGGTCTCATTGTTGAAGGCCTTACAATGGCCTATAATTGCTTATATCCACTTCATTAGAACTCTGGTGGATTGTTGTCTCATTGGCAATCATACATCCCCTTATTTCTATATTGTTTGAATCATTTCTGAGAAATTTGAAAGTAAACTGAGAGACTAGGAAAGGTGTCATGTGATTGCAATAGCTATCACAGCCTTCATCTAACTGGGCTAAAATAATGCAGGAAGAAAGCCAGGTATTCCAACAAGTACCATGAACAAATCCAGTTTGCCCTGATATTTGTACGTTATCCTTCCTAAAACCAGAGTATTTAGTGAAATAGCCTATAAACATACATATATACATTCCATTACTTACTCTCATAAAACCTTTCTTACTTAGATATTTGTTGTGGAAAAGAATAATAATAAAACAGGCAAAAATATTTATCATAAGCATTTATTTATTTTACATGCCTCATTTTTTAATCAAAATTAGAAATATGCATATACAGTGAAAATTCTTCAAACAAGCAACCTTTAAAACCAAAATATTAGAAAGTACTGGGTAAATTGAATATGACGATGATCCAAAATTTGGTAGTTGTAATGAAAGATGGTATATTAATCAAAGCACTTATTCATTGTCATGTGTGCTGTTTTATTGAATGGAATATGCTACGGTGTAAAACTTTTAATGTGCTCAACTGTGGCATCAATCTGAAATAAAGGTGAAACAGTAAAATAATCAACAATCTATAACCTTGATTTTGCTGCTGAAAAAATAATTACATAAACTTAAACAATCATAAATGGGCCTGAAAATAAAAGCCAAAATTGTCCGTTATCTGCTTTGCCAAGGGTGAGTTGCTTCCTAATTTATAATAAATAAAAAACGGTTTAAGTCCACCATAAATTTTTGTTAAATATACACATGCTACAAAATTTGAATATCAACAAATATAATGGAATTTTCTGTTGTGTTAAATTTATTTTCCACCTTTATTGTAGGGCATCAAAAGTCAGCTGCCCTAATGTCCCAAAGATTGACTTTTATGTATGGTAAACCAGTTTATAAGATTTTCACTGTACATGTATTTCCACATTTATTTATAAAAAAACAATTGAACACACTTTATAAACAAACTGAACACATTTGGCTAAAATCTAAAGCATGCTACAAATTTTAACTCTTCTGGAATTTTTTAGTCAAAAGACTTTATACAAATGATACACATCCTGTGTCTACTAGAACAAATAAACATTTCATGCAAATAAGTTTCAAATGCATTTTATTATTTAAACCGTATTGGTTCTGATAATTATTGCCAGGAATATAAGGAATGATCGATATCACCAAAACATGTATTTATGTGTTGACATTAAGTGTCCCAGTGTTAATTATCTCCCCCTGGTTTAAACACATTATATCCCATCATGCCTAAACCAGATTCTTTTGATTTGTGAATAAATTTTGAACAGTGTCAATCTACCATAAAAACTAGAGAAATGAGGTATATAAAGTTCTTTCACATCCCCCCTCCCCCTGCAAAAAAAATAAATGAAGAAGAACTATGAGTGAACCAAAATAAAAAAAGATTGATTGTCTCCCCTTTAACCCTTTTACATTTTGGACTACAATCATATTCCTTCATGCACATCCTCATGTATGCTTCTTCAACTGTGTAAAGTTATTAACTACTGCCTTCCTGTTTAGAAGGAGTCGCTTACAACAAACTATTACCACATATAGCAATATTTAAGAAAGTAAGTTAATTATCTTTCCTTTATAAACATGGTTGGACCATAATAATATTCCTTTTATATGCACATTCTCATGTAGTGTTCTTCAACTGTGTTAAGTTTTAACAATATCTATTTAGCTGTTGATTGGTAGTTGCACTTACAATAGACTTTTACCACATATAGCAACATTGAATTAAGTTAGATTATCTCCCCTTTAGCATGTAGGACTATTGTTTTAATCCCTTTTGGACCTCCCCAGGTAGTGTTCTACAACTGCTTAAAATTTAATCAATGACCATCCAGCCATTTAGGAGTTGTAGGAACATGGACAGATGGACAAGGTAATTCCTTTAGTATGCCTCCCCCTCCCCCAAAAAGTTCATTAACTTTTTGGGGGGGGGGTTTACTTATAAAAATAATCACCAAACAACAAATACCCTTTTAAAAGATATTGGTAACACTTATCCACTAAGCTAGTTGATAAGACTATAATACAGCATCTCTAATAAAAATAACGTCCATTTGTGAACTGGTCCTTTGGACAAAATGAGCTATATCAAAATATATACAATGTTTTTCGTTAGCCATCTTATTTACAAAACAGCACATGACTATAAATTGATATGAACTACAGGATCAATGATAATCACTCAAGGACAATTTTACTTTGATCAAAAAGTATAAACTTCAGCACAATAAAATCTGTAACAAATATGTCCAAAAATATAATACCCTGATTTTTGCATGTCATGTTTGGTCTTCTTGACCTTTGTAGCTCCTGAAAATACTGAATTGCATATAAAAACTGTTACAGGAAAAACTTGATCAAAATTGAGTTTTACATACATTAGCACAAAAACCTGTATACAAATGTGATCATGATTGATATGATAAATGAACACATATACCATACATTACTCTCTTTGTTCACTAAATGTCCAAAAATCTTTATAAAAGAAAACAACAAATAATTGACCACCAGCATGCATTTAATGACTTGTTTAAACTAAATATCAGGGTTCTGATCAAGTTGAGACCATGGGTCCTGACATCAGACTAGAAATGACACTTTAAAACTGGCGAGTACAAAGATGCATTTAGATTTTTTCTGCAGAGTCTAGTCATTATCAACTCATGCTTGTAAAAGTTAAAAAAAGAAATGAATTTTTATTCTCATTTTGTTTTTACAAGAGGACTTGAACAGGTGAATTAAGATAAACTGTTTTTCTTAATTACTTGCAATGCATGTAGTACAAAATGATGAGTTTTAAAATCCTCAGGGAGAACCTTGGTTATCTGTCTTTGAATTTAGTTAATCAAGACATATCAATATATATCATAAAAGAATATTATGCATTGCATTGAAAAAAAAGTTTTAATATTAAAATCTCTGGTCATTAACTGGGTGGTGTTATCTTAACACCATGTAAATATATATAATTTCTGCAAAACAAAATTAAAGCAAAAACCATTTTAGTCATAATTCTTGTAGGTGGCCAAAAAGTCAGATACAATATTTCTGAAAATAATTGATTTGAACTCTCACATAAATGTTTCAGCTAAAAAGGCTGTGTCATATCATTGTAAGACGTATATGCAATGTTTGGTCTAACAAAAAAATTGAACACTGGTATAAATGATACACCTTACACATAGTTTGATATGTACAAAAATAAATACTGTCGAAGTCCTTGATTAAATATCATCTTAATATAAATTTTCCATTGGACAAAATATTTTCTGATGCAATGTGGGTGGTATATTTTATATGTGTTTGATTAGTGTTTTAGTGTCTGATTTTTACTATTTCAGCATTTTTTCAGAAATAATATTCTACATTCTGGCAAAAACCATAAAAATACTTGTCTGTTTCAAATACAATTTATATGATGTATGACAATATGCTGGACAAAATACATTACTCATGTCTACTCTTTATGCACTAATTGTTCTTATTATTTAAACTATACTAACATGACTAAGCTATATCATTAATTTAAAAATAACTGACTAAAATTCATTAAAGCCCTATTAAATCAGTACTGGCACATAGATAAATAAATGAAATCATCTTTTACAAAGATCAGAATTTTCAAACCATCTCAGTTGTCAAATTATCTTGAGCAAGCTCATTGTCTGTTGAACCATCAATAACTTTCACTAAACGCTGAATGTCTAGATCTTCACCCAATGATGTAAAGTTAGACATATATTCAGATTGAATCTTAGCACACATTGCATTTGATAACAATATTTTACATCATAACATTTTCACTGTCCAAATAAGTTTTACCTGAAAAAGAAGTAACAATATTACCATTTATATCAATTCGAAAAATATTTATAACCAATTATAAGATATCCTGCTCTTAACTTTTTCATAGGTTAAAACAGCTGGTAAAGTCACAACCAATAATGAGATATCCTGCACACTTTATAGAGGTTATAAACAGCTGGTAAATGTGTTCAGGTGGATTGATTGATTATTACTTGCTTAATGTCCAGTGGCAAACATTTCAAGCATATTCAATACAATTGATCAGTTAGACAGTTCTAAGAAATGTAATAACAGTGATTCAGCCAGGCACTGATCACAAGATATATCACTTTTCTCTCTAAATATCCTGAAGGAATTTGAAAATAGTTAAAACTTCTTAAAGAGGCAGCATCTACTGGGTTCACCAACAAATTGGGTGACATTTTTTTCAAGAATGTAGTACTGTAAATTCAGAAAATTATTGGGTGCATGTTTTATTGCGATTTTATCATTTTAGACTAAAATGCGATTTTAATTTTTGCGATATTGAGAAAAATCCTGTTTAATTCATATAAAAAATTTCAATATGCGAGTTTAAATTATTGCGATTATAACCCTGTCGCATTTTTCGCAATAATAAAAACATCACAATAATTTCTGAATTTACAGTACATTGTGTATATAAATAACAAATGAAAACTGTTTTGGTGCAAATATTGATGTTTTTTTGGCGAAAATATACTTTTTATAGAGAAGTTGAATTTTTGACACCCCATATTCACATAACCCTTGATTACCTAATAAATTTTGACAAATGTTAGATACATGTACATAATCAATGTAAAACTGCCAGATTTTTTTTTTCTACAAGATAAGGATGTTTTCCACCAACATATTAGAGAGAAATCATTAAAATTATATACCTACTCAAACAATGCCAGTTTGTCGTCATCAGTCAAGCTGTCCTGGGAACTTTGGATTACATCACTATCCTCATCCTCCATCATACTGACAGCAGCTGTAGCACCATCTGTGCCTTCTTTTAGTTCTGTAAAGTTCTCCTGGGAACCTGATGCACTCCCATGTGCACTTGAAGGCTGCCAATTTAATAGAGGTAGCGTATTGGATCTTGAAGTGCAGCTGTTGTTTGTAGATGTAGATGTACATGTATCTATATACTTAATTATCAAATCCATTCTCCCTATAGCCATAAAGCACCTCCTTAAAAATTCTAAGTCCTTATCTGTTACAAAACTTCTTTTGTCCAAGAAAGAAATCAATTCTATAGAATTGTTTACTTTTTCAAGATCTTTTACTGTAACAAGCTCGTTCAATTGTAAAAGTAGTTTCAGAGATGAAAAATCCTCTTCAGAAAGCTCTTTTCCACACTTAAGAAGGGCAACTGAGTAGTTATTAGGAAAATCTTTACTAACTTTCACAGGTGATTGTCTGTCTCTTCTATGCATTTTAAATAATTGAAGTTTTGGTGGCATCCTGAAAATATAAAGAAACAATGATACAAACAAATGTTAGATATACTGTTCCCAGATAAAACTAAACAAGAGATACAAACAAATGTTAGATAAACTGTTCCCAGATAAAACTAAACAGAGATACAAACAAATGTTAGATAAACTGTTCCCAGATAAAACTAAACAGAGATACAAAGAGATGGAAGATATGCTGTTCCCAGCTAAAACTAAACAGAGATACAAACAAATGTTAGAAAAACTGTTCCCAGATAAAACTAAACAGAGATACAAACAAATGTTAGATATACTGTTCCCAGATAAAACTAAACAGAGATACAAACAAATGTAAGATATACTGTTCCCAGATAAAACTAAACAAGAGATACAAACAAATGTTAGATAAACTGTTCCCAGATAAAACTAAACAGAGATACAAAGAGATGGAAGATATGCTGTTCCCAGATAAAACTAAACAGAGATACAAACAAATGTTAGATAAACTGTTCCCAGATAAAACTAAACAGAGATACAAACAAATGTTAGATATACTGTTCCCAGATAAAACTAAACAGAGATACAAACAAATGTTAGATATACTGTTCCCAGATAAAACTAAACAAGAGATACAAACAAATCGAAGATATACTGTTCCCAGATAAAACTAAACAGAGATACAAATAGATGGAAAATATACTGTTCCCAGATAAAACTTAACAGAGATACAAACAAATGTTAGATATACTGTTCCCAGATAAAACTAAACAGAGATACAAACAAATGGAAGATGATGAAACTAAAGAGATACAAACAAATGTTAGATATAATGTTCCCAGATAAAACTAAACAGAGATACAACAAATGTTAGATATACTGATCCCAGATAAAACTGAACAGAGATACAAACAAATGTTAGATAAATACTGTTCCCAGATAAAACTAAACAGAGATAAAACAAATGTTAGATAAACTGTTCCCAGATAAACCTAAACAGAGATACAAACAAATGTTAGATAAACTGTTCCCAATCACTAAACAGAGATACAAACAAATGGAAGATGATGAAACTAAAGAGATACAAACAAATGTTAGATATACTGTTCCCAGATAAAACTAAACAAGAGATACAAACAAATGTTAGATAAACTGTTCCCAGATAAAACTAAACAGAGATACAAACAAATGGAAGATATACTGTTCCCAGATAAAAATAAACAAGAGATACAAACAAATGTTAGATATACTGTTCCCAGATAAAACTAAACAGAGATACAAACAAATGTTAGATATACTGTTCCCAGATAAAACTAAACAAGAGATACAAACAAATGGAAGATATACTGTTCCCAGATAAAACTAAACAAGAGATACAAACAAATGTTAGATATACTGTTCTCAGATAAAACTAAACAGAGATACAAACAAATGTTAGATATACTGTTCCCAGATAAAACTAAACAGAGATACAAATAGATGGAAGATATACTGTTCCCAGATAAAACTTAACAGAGATACAAACAAATGTTAGATATACTGTTCCCAGATAAAACTAAACAGAGATACAAACAAATGGAAGATGATGAAACTAAAGAGATACAAACAAATGTGAGATATACTGTTTCCAGATAAAACTAAACAGAGATACAAACAAATGTTAGATAAACTGTTCCCAGATAAAACTAAACAGAGATACAAACAAATGTTAGATAAACTGTTCCCAGATAAAACTAAACAGAGATACAAACAAATGTTAGATATACTGTTCCCAGATAAAACTAAACAAGAGATACAAACAAATGGAAGGTATACTGTTCCCAGATAAAACTAAACAAGAGATACAAACAAATGTTAGATATATTGTTCTCAGATAAAACTAAACAGAGATACAAACAAATGTTAGATATACTGTTCCCAGATAAACTAAACAGAGATACAAATAGATGGAAGATATACTGTTCCCAGATAAAACTTAACAGAGATACAAACAAATGTTAGATATACTGTTCCCAGATAAAACTAAACAGAGATACAAACCAATGGAAGATGATGAAACTAAAAAGATACAAACAAATGCGAGATATACTGTTCCCAGATAAAACTAAACAGAGATACAAACAAATGTTAGATATACTGTTCCCAGATAAAACTAAACAGAGATACAAACAAATGGAAGATGATGAAACTAAAGAGATACAAACAAATGTTAGATATACTGTTCCCAGATAAAACTAAACAAGAGATACAAACAAATGTTAGATAAACTGTTCCCAGATAAAAACTAAACAGAGATACAACAAATGTTAGATATACTGATCCCAGATAAAACTTAACAGAGATACAAACAAATGTTAGATATATACTGTTCCCAGATAAAACTAAACAGAGATACAAACAAATGTTAGATAAACTGTTCCCAGATAAACCTAAACAGAGATACAAACAAATGTTAGATATACTGTTCCCAGATAAAACTAAACAGAGATACAAACAAATGGAAGATGATGAAACTAAAGATAGATAATTCATCTGCCATGATCACAATTTGTACAATTCCGACATACAGACAGAGGAATACTACTCAAATGTTCCAAACAAGTTAAAAAATTAGCATGTTTGCAATACCAGAAACAACGATTTTGAATGACTGATCATGATTGTCTCTTGGGAAAAATTCAAAATCAGAAACAATTTTTTATTCATGTAGAAACTCACAAAATTGGACAGGGCGTCTCAAAAAGGGACGAGGAATCTGCTCAAAAACCTTGGCTTGATCTGTGTCACAAAGATGGCTATACGCCATAGCATTAAAGCAATTGCTTTAAAAACTGGTCACCACAAATAACCGATAGTGCTGCAAGTGCTGTTAAACACCTTATAATCAATCAATCAATCAAAACTGACTGGATTGGCACTATTAAAATGACTTGAATATTGATTATATGCAATCAACTGACATAATATTAGTTATCTTGGAGTAATCAGGGGTGTACAGAATTTTAAACCGTTGTTAAAAATTCATACACCCTGAGGCGTAGCCGAATGGGTGAATGAATTTTTCAACTATGGTGTAAAATTCCGTACACCCCTGAATACACCAAGATAACGAATCTATTTCTTTTGAAACATTCCTTTCCTTATTTTTATACTAGGTTGTAAAATTCTGATGAAGTTCTAAGACGAGAAAAGCAAAGTATGTCTCACATTTTTGGTTATAGACGACGAAAGCAAAGTGTGCAGCTAAGACCATTTTAGGTTATAGACGATGAAAGCAAAGTCATAGTGTGCACCAAAAAACATTTTAAGTTACAGATGACGAAAGCAAAGTGTGTGGCCAGGACTATTTTAGGTTACAGATGACGAAAGCAAAGTGTGCCACCAAGACTATTTAAGGTTACAGACAACGAAAGCAAAGTGTGTGGCCAAGACCATTTTAGGTTAGGGATGACGAATGCAGAGTGTGTGGCCAAGACCATTTTAGGCTACAGACGATGAATGTAAAGTGTGTAGTCAAGACCATTTTTGGTTACGGACTACGAATGCAAAGTGTGCAGCCAAGACCATTTAAGATAGGTGCGCATCCAACACTGTTTTTGAATAAAGATACATGTTGAAACTTTACAATTCAATTTTTTTTTAACTTAACAATTAACATGATAAAAGGATATATGTAACAAGTTGAAAGGCTCAGAATTTGTCATTCAACATGTGATGACGTTGTGTTTTTATTGCTTGAAAACTATTTCCACTTTTCCGATATTACAGTTACTGAATATTGGCCCAAATGGCTTGTTAGAAGTTTTAGTAATTGTTAAATTTTGACTGGCAATACACTCAACTTGGCGATCTCCCATTTCTGTAGTAAAACATTCATTCGAAAACAGCTGATCAATGTCAAACTCATTTAAATTGTTAATTACATCCAAATTAGAGGCTGGTACTAGTACATTTGAAACGCTTTGGGAACAGTAGGAAGTGTTAACATTGTGTGTGCTTTTGGAGCAGGTAACTGCAGTTGAGGTGTAGTTGAAGGTTGAATTAAATTCTGAATGGCTTGGCTCATTTCTTCCTTTTCTTGGTCAGACACAAGATGGTAAACAGCCAAAGAGTTAACAGATTTGTGTCCCGTCACAGCCATGATTTGTGAATCAGCAAATTTGTTCTTAAATAAAGCTATTGTACTGGTAGCCCAAAATTCATCCCCGGGTGAACTATGGTGCTGTCTTATTTACACCAGGGTAGTTAACCAATCAGATTGCAAGATTCTTCCTTCATAAGAAATAATTTTATTTATTTGTTTAACATGTTTAAGGGATCTGTTTAATGTCTTTTTTAATTATGACACCAAGCAAGAATAATCAGCTGAACTGTTTATAAAAACAATGTTACCATTTGTAAATAAATGTGTAACTTTTTTAAAATTGCTAATTTATGTTGCTTTTCTGAGTATGAAGAAATGCTTCTTAAAACAATAGATTAAATATAACTTGTTTAAGTAATGCCCCCGACTGATATTATTTCAACTGTAGTCTTAACCATAAAAATGTTCAATGGAATTGTGAGTTTCACATGTAGAATCCAGCTGAGGTAGTAAGCCTTTTATTTTAAGGGCTCATTATTGAACACAAAAGTCCCATTTTTTCTGAACTTCATTATTACTTCTAAAGAAAATCTGGCCACAGTCTATTTCTTTTTTAAATTCATGGACTCAATTAGTTCTTTTTAATGTCATAAAATTATGAATGATTGATTGTTTTCCATCTGATTAAAATTCAGATCCCATGTCTAAGCTTTGCCTACAAGGAACTGACAACACTTCTTTTTACTTTCTGTTCTGCTAATTATTGCATCAGTCAATGAAATTTCAGCCTTCAAATTTTTGAAGGTGTGGATCCCAAAATGTCTTTAAAACAGAAAATGGAATGGAGCATTTTAAGATCCTTGTAAGTAAGGCATGATCACACACAGGATCTGTTTTTAATCAGATTGATGTTTTTTTATTTTCCAGTGGCAAGTATTTCATGCATT